CATACGTCTCAGCACGTAACTWTCTCTCCATAGCGTCTCCACATTTCCCATTCATTCTGCCTGAAATGCTTCGCTGACAATTGTGCTTCTTGACAGGGAGGTCTGGACTTGAGATCATCTCCGCCAAAGGCTCACCCCACCCAACCACCATCCAATCCTCTTGGTAATGGCCCTATTAGATATTCCTGTCCCTCCACTAGAAGGTGACCAGGGTAAGGGCAGAGATCTCACCACTATATCCTAACATCTGCAACAAGGCTTGTTACTCCACTGGCACTTAATAAGCAATTGTGCAAAGAAGTGAGCTGTTGGTCTGGCTCACGCTGGGGTCAGTGCCTTGTCCTTCTCTGTCTGGACCGTGGCACTAAATGGTGAAGCACACCTGAGCATCAGAATCAAAAGAGTAAGTCTGCCGAGGACTGAGGCAAACAAGGAAGTACCCGCCATCACGTCATGTTTGTAATCWGCTGTAAAAGGACCAGACTTTGAATACGCTGGCCCAGCAGCAAGCGGCAGCAGCACACGTCTTCTGGGCAGATCGCATTCAAGAGGCGTAGAGCGAGCCTCCATGTTTATAGAGCCAATGCCGAGACCAGTGGAGGTGTCCAGGCCGGGACACAGAGGGTTGACTGGAGCGGGCCGCCGCTGACCAGCGCCTCCCGGGCCCCTCTCGTGGCTGCCCCGGCCCCCGCCTCCAAGCTCCCCCGACGTGCCCCCAGACCCTCATCCTCAGGCTTCCCCTACGAGGCCCCCGACACTCGCCCCCATGCTGCCGGGACACAGCCCTCTTGCTTCCCCGACGCAGCCCCAGACCCTCACCCCAGTGCTCCGACGCTGCCCGGGACGTTCGCCCCTCACGCCTACGAACCCCGCCCGCGGCCCTCACCAGGCACCGCCGACTCCGCGGCTTTGGCTAGACGTGGCCGCGCGAGGGGCGGGGCACGGTGGTGCGATAGCCTCGAGCCCCCGGAAACAGCCTGCGCGCGATCTCCGTTCCGGAATAAAGAGTGTCTTTCTCTGTTCGCAGCCGCACTCGGGCCCAAGCGGTGTTGGGCTGACCCTCACAGGACCGAGGCAGGCTTCGGAAACAGACTTTAAGGTTCTGCGACTCTTTTGCCTCTTTTCTAGACTGGCAGGACTAACTCCGACAGAAAGCCGGACAATTAACCTTCCGGCGGAAGTGGCGTGGTCAGGGATAGCGGCGTCCCGCCCCTCCCCAGTCGTAGGTGGGCGTGGCTTGCGTGGGTTCAGCCTCTGGTGGGCGTGGCACGCTTGCGTCACCGTCTGCCAGACCCAAGGCCGGCCGGGTGCCTGCAGCCGGCGCTGGGCTGTCTGCTGGGCACCGCCCGAAAGCGGAAACGGAGGCGAGGGTCGGCCTTTCTGCAAGCAGACGTCGGTGGCGGGCGGGAGGCACAGGTCGCGTCGCCCCTCTGGAATATGGTTCGGCGATTTCTCAAAAAAATTAGACACACGGTTGGGCGCGGTGGCACACGTCTGTGATCCCCGTGACTCGGGAGGATGGCAAATTCGAGGTCAGCCTGAGCACCTTAGCGAGATTCTGATTCAAAATAAAAAATAAAAGGACTGGGGGCGTAGCTCAGTGGTAGAGTGGTCCAAGGTTCCATGCCCAGTACCTCCCCTTCAAATTATAGTTATATGGCCCAGCATCCACATTCCTGGACACCTATCTCAGAGAAATAAGCTTGTTCCCGCACAGAAACCTGCCCATAATTGTTCCTAGCACCATCATTTGTACCGGCCCCAAAGAATAAACGAMCAAATGTGTCCGTGGGTGGGCGGTGAATGGCACAGACCACCACGAATTCCAAGGGCATTCCACCGAGGGAGAGTTCTCAAGGCCTGTACTGAACGAGGGTTCCACTTATACGTTCCACTTTTACTTGTGGGAGTGACAAGTTAGAGAAATGGAAAACAAACCACTGATTGTCAGGGATTAGTAATGATGGGGTTGGAAAAGCAGTAGCAAGGGGCGCGGGGTGGGGGTGGCGGGGAGAGTCTTTGCATGGAAATATGTATCTCGTGATAGTGTCGCTGGATCTGCATGTGACATTAAACCACATGGATCTATAAACTCGTTTAAGACTATGTGATCTTAATCCAGGGGCTAAGATTGTGGTTCAGCGGTAGAGTGCTCGCCTAGCACTTGTGAGGCCCTGGGTTCGATCCTCAGCACTACATAAAAATAAATAAAATAAATGTATTGTGTCCAACTACAACTAAAAAACAAATATTAAAAAAAAAAGATTACTGTTAGCTTCCTGACTGGTATATTATACTATGTAAAGTAAGATGTATGGGGAACTGGGGCAAGTCTTAATCTGCAAATAAAATGTGACAATTACTAAGTCTAAAAGCAAACACTCTAACCCTAACCCTAACCCTAACCAAATTATGTTAAATTGAYAGCCATGTCCACATGGAAAAAAATACTGGTTTTTTTTGATAGTGCTGGGGACAGAACCCAGAGTCTTGCATGTGCCAGACAAGCCTCTACCACTGGGTTACATCTCCAGTCCTAAGGAAAACTTTTTGCAGCATTATTAAGGTATAGCTTGTAAGGTCGGTGGTGGTGACTTAGAACAAAGCAGCCCACAGGGAAAAGAACATCAATCAGATGCCGGAGGAAATGCCTGTCAATCAGCCAGATCTCCTGATCAATCAGCAGGACCCCCTGGCCAATCCTGGAGTTCAGCCAATTCTCCTGACCAACTCCAAGGGGGCAAAGGACCCTAAAAACACCTTTTTCTGTCCCAAGCCCTTCCCTTCCTGCTGTAAGCCCCATAAAAGTCCAGTCCAGTCGAGCTTCCATGCGGTTTCTTCTCAGACCCTTCCCCTGTCCACTCTGTGGGTCTGATCAAGTTCCGCCTGGGAGTGATATCTCATAAAGCCTCGTTCAGCGGCCCTTTTAAATCTGCCTCCTTCAGTCGCTGCCTGCCTTGCCTGATCTGACACAGCTTACATACCACAAAATGTGCCCTGCATACAACTCAGTGATTACTTCAGAAAGCTTGCAGAGCTGCACATCTTCCTACAAACCCTTTGGTCATATGCAAACATCCAGCCCCCAACTAGGAAGTGGTGAGGCCAAGGGCTTATTACCTTTCTTAAATACAACTGATTTAGTTCTAAGTTCATATGATTTCTAAAGTACTGGTTGTGTTCGGCGGCACTGGCTCCTGGGAGGCGGCCCTGCCAGATCACCTGGATTCACCTATGCTGCTGCCCACAGGACTGGGCCTTGCCCCCTACATGGGCATTTGTCCTCAGGAAAGCAAGACCCAGCCTCTCTACAGCCAGGACAACCTCAGGGAGAAAAGCAACTATTGTTCATGCCAAAGTGGAGCCAAAGTGGAGAGGGCAGAGGGAGAAGATGGTTCTAGCGACAAGGTTCAGTTTCCTCCATCAAGCCACACTTGAAATCAAATCTATTCTGGACATTCTGAATTCAGCAAATTCCTCATTTTGCTTTCTTTCTCCTGAGAGTCTAATTTTCTACTGCCAAGCTTCTGGAGACCCAGATTCTGGGTCTCTTCTGAGCCCAGCTACAGACTGTGAGAAGAGCAGTGTCACCCTTTCCTGGGTTGCCAGACCAAAACAAGGGATAGATTGTCACCAGGGTCCCCAGCTAACAGAAACCCCTCCAGGCCCACAGCCCCTGAGGCCGGCCGGCTTCCTCTGACTTGAAGCTCAGACCCTTCAGACCAGGAAGGGCTCTCCGGATAGCACACTGGAGAGTGTGCAGCTGAGGTAGGCAGCACTCACCTAGCACTGGGCAGGGTCACTGGGAGAATGGGGTGAACTTACTGGTGCCAGGAGCAAAGGAGGGTAGTGGACAGCTGAGGCCTAGCTCTGAGTCTGCTCCAAGACTGGGCTGAAGAGCCACACAGAAGCATTGGGCATCTGCAGTGGCTACATGGCCACCCCCCTGCAAGGCAACCCTATGAGGAAACCCACACATTCACCCCACGGTCAGCAAGGCTCCATGCAATTGAAGATTTTGTGATTTTTAGTGTAAGGTGGATGGGTCTTTTAAGAAGTTCAGAAAAACATATAAACACTGCATGAGCCCTGCCCACCTGCCTCTCTAAACAGCTCAGGTCACACCATGGAAATGACCATGCTGGCCTGAGGCTCCCTCAAGTTAGAGCAGGATGCAAGCTTTGTTCTGTCACATGCTCACCAGAAGTCTACTGGAGTCCCCTCAGTGTGGACCAGATTCCAGTTATTTATTTATTTTTAGYTGTAGTTGGACACAATACCTTTACTTTACTTATTTCTATGTGGTGCTGAGGATTGAACCCAGGGCTTTGCATGTGCCAGGTGAGCGCTCTACCGCTGAGTTACAACCCCAGCCCCTGGGTGTCCAGTTCTTTAGTGGACTGAGTAAAGCTCAGTGCTCCCAGGGATGTGCTCCCACCTTGGTCCAGTGAGACCAGAGCAAAGGTWCTGGTCCCACTTCACCCTGGGCATGAAGAACTGCTTGCTGTAGGGCTCAGGGGCAACTTGGTGGTAGATCTCTTGCCTTCTGTGCAACTGCCTTGGGTCTGAGTCAGAGCAGCATTAAAAAAAAAATTATTTTGCATCCTCTATAAGGTTGGCATTTTCATCTTAATCCCTGGGAGTAGGTACGGTCCATCTCTATAGCACAGACCATGGCAGGCCTCCCTACTCAGCTGAAAATTAAGTACCCACACTGGACAAAAGGCTGTGGCTCCTGGGGCTGGCAAGGGTAAAGAGACTCTGCTGTTTTCCTTGATGCTTTAGGCCCAACCTCAGGTCCTGTGTGACTCCAGAGGTGAGCTCACTCCAAGTGGTCAGTTAGTCTGCTGGTAGAGCCACAGATGGACCAGAAGGCAATAAATGGGACAAGCAGTAAAGAACTAGCAAATCTTCATGGAGCCTATCTCCATCAAGATGGGGAACACAGGGCAGCCCCACACAGAACCCCACACAGAGAGGAGAAACAAACACAGCTTGTTTATTAGAATCAAAAAAGAGAACTTTCTCCCACAAATACAGAATGCTGCCTCTCAGTCTGTATCAAGAGCAAGACAACAGTTGAAAATTGTATTCCTGAGAAGAAGCAAAAAAGTTACCAGTTTGCAAACAAACTTAACAGGTGATTTCGACAAAAGATAAAAAAACTTTTTCTTTTCTTTTTCTTTTTTTTTTTTTTTTAACAAAAAACAAAATTTCAAGTATTATTCCAGATGACATGGCAAACCTAACAGAGGAGGAAAGGGATCAGGAAGCAGTGGCCCCAGACCCACCCAGCTGCAGGGGGATCTCGCAGGGCTGGCAACCTCATCCTCCCTCCACAAAAGGACCTGCCAGCCCTGCATTGAGGACAGCCGACGCAACTCACACACTTTAGAAAGGAGCTGCTAACCTGAAAGTCACGTCCAGGGTTAGCTGTTGTGGACATTTGATGATTGTTTTAACAAATAGAAACATATGCTCATTCTTTCAAATATCATACTATCCCCGATTTTAGTAAATTTGCAAATTATATTATTTGTGCTACAGTTTGTAATATTTAAATCTTATCAGATAAGCACCAAACCCATTAAAAATATATAAAAGGTATGGTTTCCTCAACAGCGTTGTATTCTGTACATCCTGTAGGCTGTAAACTTACTCTCCCTTTCCTTAAGCAGAATGCTTCTGACTAAACTTCCTCTTTCTCTCGTGAAATTTTTCCTGAAAAGAGATTTCCATTTTAACTGCAGTTATGGAAAAGGTACAAAAAGAGCAAACCTGCACTACCCCACCTCCATGGGAGGGGCAGCTGTGCACCTGGCAGGAGGCCTCAGCCAGCTGCTCCTACCACTCACCAGGAGGATGGCTGTGGCCAGAGGCTGCCTGGGAATAAACTCCACAAAAGGAAAAGTCACACAACAGAACTGACCAGAGACTCAGCATTGCTTAGGGGGACTGTAAAAATGCCCTTAATGTGTTGGTGTTCAGAATTCTTAACTGCAGCGTCCCTGCCTCCAGTGCTCCAATCTGCCTGTATGTCCCCTTGATGTTCAGTTCTTGAACCTGGTTTGTTCACAGATGTGATTGAATTTCCTGCAAAAAGAATTTGGTCACATCACACAAGACAACATCAGAGAAGTGTTCAAATTAACAAGGCTTTGAAACCACAAACTGGAGGAACCACATGAGAATTGTGTAGGTGCGTGTGTTTGTGGACTCACAGCAGTATGTTTTTAATAACATCAAAGAAATGAAACCCCAAAGTAGCCTTTTTCCTTTTTTAAATTTTAAAATAGAGGTGAAAACATCTTGGGTAATTTCCTTAGAGAAAAGCATAAGAGCTGTGCCTTTTCAGAGAGAGCCTGAGCTCTCCCTGTGTGTTTCCTGACAGGGTAGAGATAGGCGACCAGGCATGTGATGGTGGCACCTCCCCTCTCCACAAGCCATGGGCAAGAGCAGAGACATTGAGGAGGGAGATGGGATGTGTCTGTGTTACCTGAATCCCTACTTTCATAAGAAATGTTGGTTACTAGTAAAATCTCCTTTTTAGGGAAAAAATGGCCTCTTCCAATGCTATTTAAGCTCAAATATAACACAAGGATTTTATCCCAAGAAACAACTGCTTGATGGAATTTGTCTTTGTCCAAGTCCACATCTCTCTCATTGTCTCAACTACTTCAATTTGAAACATAAATGCCTATTTGGGAATTATATATTGGCCAAGGAATTGACTGAAAGTGATCATCTCACTCAGTTGTTTAAGGAGATGGCAGAGAGATTAGTCCTAAATTCTGAGAACAACCTTTAAAGACCACACTGAAGACACCACAGTGGAGGTGACCCCGCTACAGTGATCACAAACACCCACGTTCAGTATAGAAGACAACCAGCTGTCATAGCATTACGCTGTGGGCCTATGGCTTCCAACAGATGTTCTCCATGACTACAGCCACTGTCTCAGTGCTAAACTTCTCATGTCTGCTGTGCTCTGGAAGCTGTCAGAGGTGACTCCAGTCAAGAAAACAGAGAGGAAATGAACATCTGCATATAGAAATTTCAGGATATGAGGGCTGGGGATGTAGCTCAGGGGTGGAGCATTGCTCCACAGGCACAAGGTCCTGAGTTCAAGCCCCAGCACCATCTCCCCTCAAAAAAAAAGAAAACAGGAAATGAGGTATCAAAAGAGGTGGAATCTCTCCATGAAGATGCTACTTTACATGCTGTGTGACTTTACGTAAGCATAATGTTACTGTACACATATATACACACACACACATTTTTTGGTGGTGATGGGAATGGAACTCATGGCCTTACACATACTATGCATGAACTCTGGGGATTTTTCCAAGGTCATAGAGGCAATAATGGAATCTTTTGTGTGTGTGTGTGTGCGTTGCTGGGCCTTGTGCATGTGACGCAAGTACTCTACCAACTGAGCTACATCCCCAGCCCCAATAATGAAATCTTTATTTACATCCCTGAATGCCACTGAGCTACACCTCAGCCCCATACATTAGTGTGTCTGTGTATGTATATGCATATACATTTACATATGTATATACACTCCCCTCCAATTTTTTTTTAATAAGGGGAGTAAATCCAGGGTTGCCTTACTACAGAAATACCTACCCAGCTCTTTTTATTTTTTATTTTGAGACAGGTCTCACTAAGTTGCCCAGGCTGAACTTGAACTTGCCAYCCTCCTACCTCAGCCTCCACATAGATGGGATTACAGAGAGATGACACTGTGCCCCACCAAAATTAGCATATTTTTTAGCAGACGGTGAACCACTGCAGTCACCTCCCCAAGCCTGGTACCCCTGTCTCACTCACATGGCGTGGTGGGCTTTCACCTGAGTGCGGCAGTTACGGCCCCAGTAGCAATCAGGACGGGATGCCACAGCCACTAGAAAAGAAGACAGTGCACAGCCATTACAGGCAACACCCCCACTCAGCTCTGCATTTAAATAGGTACCCAAGGAAGCCACCACTGAGCACAAAGGGCCTGTCACTCTTCATCACCAGTTTAGGACTGTGCAGGATTTCAGGAAAGGAAATCAAACTGGTAAAAAAGATACATTCAGGAAATGGAGTCCTCTAGCACTCTATCCAAAGTGTCCACGCACCTCTCCTTTAGCAACACACACTGTCTTGACTGGTGGAGGCAAACATGGCCTCACACAGCCTGGGTGGTTCTTCCCCCTTCTGCTGTGGACTTCTGACAAGAACACAGCCCAAACAAGCACCTGTTAAGGACAGACACCAATCCTGAATTGGACTGGACAGAATTGGAGTTTGTGGAGTTCTTTACCTGGTAACTCAGAAGCAGGAATGTTCTGCCGATACTGATAGGTCAGCTCCCGGAAGCTACGCAGGCCACAGCAGTAACACAGTACAGTGTTCCCAGTGATTCTGTAATCTGCAGGGAACACAGTCGGTTATCGGGCAATGTCATTTTTCAAACAACAGAACAGATGCTGCACCTCAAACTCCTGCAATGCTAAGGACACTGATTCACACAATGGGACACAGAAGCTGAAAAAGAACATCAGAACCAATCTAGGTTCCAACTTAATTTTTCTCTTTTTTTTGTTTCAATATTGGATATCATACTTGGAACATAAAAAGGGCTGGAGATATAGCTCAGTGGTAGAGTGCTTGCCTAGAGTGCATGAGACTCTGGGTGGGATCTCCAACGTTGAAAGAAAGAAAAGAGAAAAAATAAATTGAATACTAGGTAAATCTGACTACATCAAAATGGAAACATGACAAATATGAAATACTCATGATATGACTACAAGTGGCAATATATTTAAAACACAAACAGCAATGCTATGTACTTAATTAACAAAGATATCCCACAAATCCACATCAAAACAAACCGTTAAAGAACCTAATATATTCGGCTGGGGTTGTGGCTCAGTGGTAGAGCACTTGCCTAGCATGTGTGAGGCACTGGGTTTGATCCTCAGCACCACATAAAAATAAATGAATAAAATAAAGGTGTCGTGTCCATCTACAACTAAAAAAATATTTTTTTWAAAAAAACCTAGTATAAATAAAGGCCAAGATCACAGGTAAACACATGCCACACAAATGCAAAAAGACTGGCTATAGTTGTCAATAATAACTAAATATGGGCAAATGAAACAATGACATGTCACTGTTGACCTTTCTCCCATTAACAAGACTTAGAGAGACATGTGGAATTGACAGGCAGAGAGATGCTCACCCTCATGCTCTGAGGCACTAGTGGGAGCCTACATAGCCTCAGGAAGGACAGTGTGCTCATGTGACAAAGTCTCCACCTGTGCATTGCTGCCCTGAGAGTCCCACCTACTCTAAGGTGATGATTTCTCGGATCTACAACACTGCATGCTCAACAAATGTGGCATTGTTTAAAATAGTGAAGAACTGGAAATAACTGAAATACCCTTTATTAATGAATTAGCTAAATACACTATGGCATTAGAAGGCTGCATAACAATAAAAGTCGAGACTGGGATGTGTCTTCAGCTCAGCAGTGGAGTGCCTGCTTGGCACGCACAAGCCCAGGCTGGATTCCCAGAACCACATGCACCCATGCAAACCAGGGTACAGACCTTTCTTGGCAGAAGGAGTGCATGATACATTGCTGAGGGAAAACCAGACACAAACAGCACAGGAGGGTGTTATCTGGAAGACCATCCACAAACAGGTATTTGGAAGGGCCTAGAAGAGTGGTCACAAAAATACCATCTCTGCATATTTTAATTTATTTTTTGTGGTGTTAGAGATCAATGCCAGGGCCTGATGCATGCTAGGCAAGTGCTCTACCACTGAGCCACATCCCCAATCCCTCGATGGAATTCTAAGCAAATTTCTCAAGTCTTTCTCTCATAATAATTAATATCTCAGAAAAAAAACTTGCTTGTTAATATTCCTTCAGCCTCCCTGGGTGGCAAAAGTCATACGTTACAAGGCACCTGTGCTACCCTGGGCGGGGGGGGAATAGCCCCCAATGAGGGATCCACACACCAAGGGACAAACAAGGGTCTGGGAACAACCATCCTAGGACTTGGTGTAGGTGAGTGGTGGAGTCTCCCAAGCTATGCTCCTCCCATCCCTACAGAGCAGTCAGTTCTGGAGTATGTCATGTAGGCATAAGCACAATGCTTTTCAAACTCAAAAATGAAGACTTTCTCTGTCTCTGCTGGGGTGGGTGGAGGTTGAAGTCATAAACGTAGGAAAGCAGACAGGTAGTACTACCCAGGGTGACCTGCCGGGTGCTCACTGCTGGGCAGGAGGCAAAGGCAGCCTTAGAAATCATTTCCATTCTACAGAGGGCAAGTGGATCAAGGCGAGTGAAACAAAGCTCACCAGACAGTAAAAACACTCCCCGCTGAAGAGCCACAAGACTCTCTGTCAACATGTTTTTCCACGTCAGACCCCTGGTTGCCAGGTAATTCTGCAGGGGAAAAAAAGGCAATAAGAATAAAAACTAGTCTAGAGGCAGAAACACTAAACAACAAGAGAGAAAGCACTTCGTGAGAAGCCTCTGAGGTGGCTGAACCCATGGCACAGCTGCCCATGGGCGGCCCTGGCCCACAGGGCTCCTGGTATGAGCCTCTTTGGGCCTCAGAGAGGGCTAGCCTTTGAACCCCAGGTGGAAGAGGCATCAGAGTCTCTCAAAATCCTACAAAGGCATTCACAGCACAGATACAGCTGAAACAACCTTGACAACGTCCCATGACAAGAGAGGATGAAAACCTGGCATCTGCTGTCTGCCCTCTGGAAACATGGAGCAGCTGGCCCCTCTCATGGAAGCCTACAGAAAAGCACCCCCTATAGGGCTGGGGATGTGGCTCAGGTGGTAGCGCGCTCGCCTGGCATGCGTGCGGCGCGCTGGGTTCAATCCTCAGCACCACATACAAATAAAAAATAAAGATGTTGTATCCGCCGAAAACTAAAACAATAAATAAAAAAAAAAGAAAAACACCCCATATAGACCCCAAAGCAGGTGTAGAGCTGCTGAGAGGACCATGCCTGTCAAATGTCCATGGCAAACAGGAAGCCCTGCTCTTGTTGTGCCGTCCATAGTGCTGGATGCCAGGTCCACAGCAGGAGAGCACAGGTACATATTAAGCATGTGAAATGGGAAGGAACACAGTCAGAGAGGAGGGCCAGAACTTCCCAGAAACCCTCTCTGAACTGCAGGAACCAATTCCTATGGATTCATGACACTATGGCAAAAAGGAAATGCCTATTTTTGAAATATGTGGAAAAACAGACATATACCAACGGGAGGGGCAGAGTTAAGCAGATCACTATTCAGAAAATTTACAAGGATTCCTGAAAGTAACTACAGAAGTGAGGGGGAGGCCTCCTGTTGGCACTGAGCCAGGCATGTGTGACAGGCACCTTCAGGATGTCTGACTCGTAGTTATTGCTGTTCAGCACTCCATCCAGACACTTGTCCCCCAGGTTGAGCTCTGCCAGGGGAAGGGAAGCAGAGTTATCTGTTTTATAAAGACAACATTGCATCAAAGAATTATGGCCTGATGGGATAACCAAATTTCTTTTCATTATAGATTATGCAAAAACTAAAAATTCCATAATAAAATGAGATTATAATACAGAAAAATTATTTCCATCCCTCCCTCCTTAAAATAATAAGATCTGAGTTTGTGAACACCTGGCTTGGTGTCAGAAAATCGGGACCACTGAGGAAGATTATTTTCTTAGGAGAGGTAATTCTATATGCATAAATAAATCCTCCTGCATTAGAAGTTCGTTATCTCCTTAACTGCTCCACGTGGCTTGACTGTGAGCCAACATGAATTCCACACTTCCAACATGTTTAGCAGGAGAAGGCAGGTGGGTACCTAGTGAATGACAGGGCCCACCCCTGCCCCTGCACACACCAGGCCACAAACACCACCAACACCTGCTCTGAGGTCATCAAGAGAACACATGCAGGGCTGAAGAGGTGATCTTACCACAGAAAGGGGCAAGGCAGCCAAAGCAACCAGTGCGGGTACAGCCCCAGTACAGGTGACAGAAGGGCTGTAGGCAGACTGAACCTGTGGACAGAGGACAGTCAGTTAGGCCCCAAGTGCTGYGAGAACACTCAGCACCAGACTCAGGGGCTCACCTCTTTGAAAACCACATAGAAGGGGTTTCCAAGGAAGTGGGCACAGAGGTGACTTTCCAGCCAAAGCCTAGCATCAAAGCTGACTGAACTGTAATGATTAAGCCCTTAGAAAAAAGCCAGACCCATGACCACATGTGTCCCATCATCCAAACAGCTTGCAGGGAGGGATTCCCTCTGGCTCTGAGCATCTGTTCTACCTGAGTATTTTGTCACACTATTGCCTTTGTCATTATTATTATTATTATTATTATTAGTAGTAGTAGTAGTAGTAGTAGTAGTAGTAGTACCAGGGAGTGAACTTAGGGGCTCTTGATCACTGAGCCACATCCCCAGCCCTATTTTATATTTTATTTACAGACAGGGTCTCACTGAGTTGCTTAGTGCCTCACCATTGCTGAGGCTGGCTTTAAACTTGTGATCCTCCTGTCAAAGCCTCCTGAGCTGCTGGGATTATAGGTGTGGCCACTGCACCCAGCAAAGCTGGAGTTTTTACAATTTGTAGAGCTATTCCCTGAGCTGTGGCTTGTTGGCCATCTTTTGTGTCTCAGGCACTCTGAGGTGAGCATTCTCTGTGGCTGCTCATACACCATGCAGTGGGCAGTGACTGCCCAGAGGATACCCTAGTGCCCTTTTGCCTGACCTGCAATACACAGCCCACCACCCTGCCAGGCCCCTCCAGCCTGCCAAGCTCAGTGTCAAGAGCAGTGCCTTGACAAGGGCCACTTTGGATGGTGTGCTGGTGCTGTGCCCCTGGCATCCAGGACAGCAGCTTGTGCCCAGCAGGGACTGTCTGATGCTGCCATTTGGGTCCATGTTTCTCTTCATTCAACAGCAACAGCTTAACACATGCAGAGCTCATATAGTCAGGAAATATTTTAAAAGAAGCCTATGTACATGGACAGATATTTCAGGCAAGAGTAGATTCAAATGGCCATCAAATAGGGGCTGGGGATGTGGCTCAAGTGGTAGCACGCTCGTCTGGCGTGCGTGCGGCCYAGGTTCGATCCTCAGCACCACATACAAACAAAGATGTTGTGTCTGCCAATAACTAAAAAATAAATATTAAAAAAATTCTCTCTCTCTCTCTCTCTCTCTCTCCCTCTCCCTCTCCCTCTCCCTCTATCACTCTCTCTAAAAAAAAATGGCCATCAAATAAATGATGGGCTTTGATTTGATGGCAAGAACTGTAAACTAAAAACACCCTATTTCATCTGTTAGATCTATAAGTGACACATCATACAGTGACTGGTGCTGATGTGGGGATGGTTGTAGATCCAGAACCCAAGAGGACCTGGTCTCCACAGGGCAGCATTAGTACAGTTCAACACAGTCACATGGGGTCAACACCTATGATCCCAGCAGCTCAGGAGGCTGCTGCAGGAGGGTCCCATGCTTCAGGTCATTTTGGTTTTGGCAAACCCCACTGAGACATCACATCTCAGCTTGGCCAGACTGTGYCATGAAATAAAACATAAAAAGAGGGGGATGCAGCTCAGTGGAGGGCCATTTAGCCAGCAAGTACAAGCTCCTGGGTTCAACCTCCAGTATTGGGGTGGGGGTGTGGAAGAAACAACATTACATCTTACTTCACACCTCACACAACACATCTGAAACATGAGCCAGGGGCACCGCAGGCAGCCTGGCCTACTCACATTGCTGAGGGGCCACACGTGGGTCCTGCTCCCGCTCYGCTCTCCGATCAGGCATGGGCTGGAAGCAGCAGGTACAGATGGCGTGGCTTCCTTGTAGAGGGCACACATAATCCTGGGCTGCTGAGGTACAGGCATGTTGGGACATAGGCAGAAAGGCGGCAGATAAGAGGTTCACATCTAGAGAAGCAGCTAGCACACAGGAGGAGAGACAGGCTTGAAAGAGGACAGGAGATTTTCAGACTGTCCCTGAGGAGTCAGATGATATCCTGCCATGTAAACTGAGAGATTTTGAGTAGATTGAAAAATAACCAAAAATGGGGTCTGGCTTAGTAGTAGAGCACTTGCCTAGCATGCATGAGGTCCTGCTTCCATCCCAAGCACCAAAAAAATAAAAATAGAAAGAACCAAAAACTGAAATTTTTTGGTTCAGGGGTTGTAACCAGATTTCAAAGATTAGTCAGAGGTTTTCTAATATTTCCTACAAAGGAAAAGCACGTATATTATAAAACAACAAAACATGCTGCATACTTAATTTCTGCTGAGACAAGAGAACAGTTATGTCTTTCCAATAACAAAAGGCAGGCATGGTGGGCAAGGGACCACCTGATCTGGCATCAGGAACTCTGACCACATGGTACATTCCTAGACACTTACCACCCATATAGARGAGACCATGGGGAGTTACCAAGCCAACCATCACAACTCAATCCACTCTAAGGGTCACAGAGCAGCTACAGCACTCAGGCTCTATCTGTGTGTGACACATATTCTACATGCATGGGCCTAATTAGTAATTTGACAGCCCAAGGCCAGAYACTGGTGGATCCTGTTATGAAAGACAGGAACATGCAGAGTGGGGAAGTCACTGGGTACTGAGTACCCTTGCCAACGGCAGAGCACTGCCTTGCCTGTCCCATACACAGGTCCTAGATGCCACCAGGAGAACTGTGGCTACAGTGCAGCAGGGTGGTCAAGGACATGGCTCTGAGGCACAATCTTGAGCTGGTGGTCTCATGACAAGCCCAGGCTAGGGCCTTCAAGCTATCTTTACATTCTGCAGAGACCACAGAATGGGTGGGGCCAAGAGTGCTAGGATTTGACCCCAGGGCCTTACACATGCAAATTATGTGCTCTACGACTGAGCTAGACCCCCCAGCCCCTCTCTTGCATTTTTGGGAGGCATCTGGAGATCCACCTGTTGGAAATGGGCAACTGACAGGAGAGAGCTCAGGGCGACTCTGGAGATGTGAGCCTGTTTCTGAGGACTGGGCATCCACTGCTGGAGAGAGGCCAGCCTCTCATGGGAGGGACAGATGTGTGGTCCCATTTTGGTTTTGGCAAACCCCACTGAGACATCACCTGCCCTAAAGCAGAGGACTGGGRACGGACCAAGTGTTAAAATCAGGACTAGTAATTCCCAGGGAAGTCCAGAGAAGACCCCCACATTAACAGCAGGTATTTATCAGAACCTCCCTGAGACAGATTATAAAAACTGAGAGGATCTGAGAGGCAGTGGGCCATGCAGGCCAAGGACTGGAGGGCAGAAGCCCCCCAAGCGGAAACAGTATAGGAGGCCAGGACAACAGGGGTCACAACAACGCGACGTGGGGCTAGATGCCGCTGTCTCACCTGCTGTGAAGCTGGCAGACGCTGATGGCGCATCCCCACCAAGGGCCTGCTGGGCCCCGGGCTCACTGTCGGGTGCTGGGCAGGGAAGGGGCTGTACCGCTTGCCTTCTGTACTCGGGGCACTGTCTGCACACGATGTATGGCTGACTGCAGGAAGAGCAAGCGGCAGAGCTGCAGCCATGGAGGAGCAGGCCCCCAGGCACTAGTGCAGCTCTGCATCTGAGACAAGGATAGACCCTGGGCAGCACCTTACCATGCCGACCCGAAGCTGTCTTCCTCTGTGTGGCCTCAGCCCCCTCACACTTTTTCTCTGGCCCTGAACAGCTCCACTCCCACCACTGCGTGTAAAGGACAGGGTAGGCCCTTCTTTCCTGCCCAGCCCCAGCTGCTGGAGAGGGCATTATCCAGAACCACCCAAACAGGAATCTGAGGGTGGGCACCCACTCACCCATGCAGGCCACCACCCTGTGCCATTGCTCATCCCCAGGCTTCAGCACACCAGATCCTGGGTCACACTGAGCTGACGAGGGGCCTGGGCTCACATGAGACCACAGCACAGGCACTGCTTCCCCTTGTTAAAGCCAGCGCACGTGCCACGTCCGAAGAGACTCTCCTCTAGTGACCTTCCAACTGGACAGCGGGARCCCCGCACCACTCATCTCTATGGCCTGTGTTGCCGTGGATTGCTTGTCTTTAAGGCACCTCAGAAACTACTAGGCAAAAAGGTAGACTGTAAAAAAGAATCCTCTGAAAAAGTAGGAGGCTCTTATCTTAGAGAATGCCTTTCTAAGGCAATGAGGGTCAAGAATGGATAAGATGATCAGATAAAAATGCCACAGTGAAAAGATGCTCATTTGTAAACAAAAAATGTAAATGAAAAGGACATTACTGTTTTCTCATACTAAGCTGGCAAAGAGCATCCTTCACATATACCTCAGAGAGTGGCATTAAAGTGACCTTTCTGATGGGCACTGGATAACATGCATAAAAGTCCAGCAAGGTAAAATTCCTGGTCATCTTGGTGAAACTGCTGGACATGTGCACAGGGGTGACCACAGGACGGTCTGCAGCACTACTTCCAGAGGCAGGGTGTTGGGAAGGCTTCAGAATCCCGAGTGCAACATGCTCCCATCTTTACAGAACACTCAATTGGTTCTTACATTCTACTTTGTAAAGATGTACATGGATGAACACACACGAAAAACCCAGTGGACACAGTGAGTGGTAACACTCAGGCTCACTGCTGGTAGAGGGCTTGCCTTAGCATGCACAAGGTCCTGGGCTTGATCCTCAGAACCAAAGGAAAGAAAAAAGAAGAAAAGAGAAATAAAATGTCAACACTGAAGTGATTCTTAGGTTTTCTTTCTTTTGCTGGATCACCATCACTAAATTTTGCAAAAACAAATAAAGATGATTAAAAGTTTTGAGCTTTGTTTATTGCCTTGAGGTAGAGTGCTCACCTACCATGCGTGAGGCATTGGGTTCGATCCCCAGACCCACGTACAAATAAAATAAAGATATTGTGTCTACCTATAACTAAAAAATAAATATTAAAAAAAGATATTGTGTCCATCTCCAACTACAAAATAAATATTAAAAACTAAATAAATAAATATCACAGCCTTGGCCAAAAATGAAAACTCTGATTTCAGAGTTGGGGAAGATCATCTAGGACTATGTCCTTTTAGCCAGGGGACAGTGCCTTTTCTGTGATACTGCCATTTATGGTAGAAGACAACACCGCCACTAGATAAACTACAGGGAAACACAGTGCTTACATGGGGAAAAAGTAAAACTTAATTACAACACTCTGTTAGGACCAGTGAGTCAGGACCCATGTGAGGCGACTTGCTCCACTGGAAGAGGGTACAGAGCTTGTCTCTGTTACCTATAGTAATGGACAACGGCAGGTGGGCCACAGGGAGGAGCACTCCATCCAGCCAGAGTAGCAAGCTGCGCAGAACGTGTGCATGCAAGGCTGCACATCCACYCTCTGCCAGCTCACCCAGTCCTGGCCACTCTCCAGCATCAGAAAACAAGCTCAGACCACAGGAACCTGGCTACCCACCCCACAGCAAACTCTTAATCAAAGAACTGGATGCACCTCTGGCTCCAAGACCCCATTCCCAGGCAGGAACAGGGACTACCTGATGTCTGAGGACTCGCTGTCAACATCTGACAGCTCCAGCAGGTCCTCTGAACTCCCCTCTTCATCAGAAAAAGACCTCTTGACTTTGGGCTGCAGCATGTCTTGGGTGATTCTATTCCTGGCATCCATACTTCTCATATCTTCTTCACTGCGACTCTTGTCTAGATTCAAAGAACACAGTAGCTTTCACTGACAGCAAGGCATGATCAGTGAGACACACAGCCTTCTCTCCTCAGAGCTGAGCTCCCAGCCCTGAGGAAGGGAGAGTCTGGGGGGGCTGGCCCACTTGCCTGGGTGCTGGATGAGGTATGCTTCCACAAGGTTGTTGAGGATGTGGTTCTTACAGATCCGCTCCACTGGACAGCGGCAGGTGGGGCACAGGGAGGAGCGCTCCATCCAGCCAGAGTAGCAAGCTGCACAGAACGTGTGCATGCAGGGCTGCAAGCTAGAACAAGAGGAACCCCTCTTCAGACAGAAGCCTCCAAAGATCGGCCACTAGGACCCCTAGGGCAAGACATGCAGCAGGCCTTCCCAGGTAGAAGGGCAAGCTGATCAAAGCCAGGGGCTGACTGTGGAGCCCAGCTATCACTCTCACAGAAAACACTTTAATCAAGCTTGGTTGATAAAAAGAAACTAGAGGTCACACTGCTTCTGTGTCATCAAAAGGGACAGAGGAAAGCAGATTATGACTGCAGAAACATGGGCAACAGGAACCAGCGTCTCAGGATTGGAAGCTGGGTAAGGCTACACCTTCTAAGTAGACACTGGAGTAAGGAGAAGGCTCATCTGGGCTGCTCCTGGGATATACATTCTATGACAGTGTTAAACATTTCTCTAACCAGGAAACATTTAAAACTTGGTATAGTGCATCTGATCTGTCTGCCTGCTAGACTTCGGGTTCACTGGGTTACCCATAACCCATGTCAGTCAAAACCAATACTGCCAAAATCTTGTGGATTCTACAGCCCTAGTCTCCTAGGTGGCTCTTCAAGTACGATGAAAATAGCACCTTAGTAGTCCCCATGCCAAAGAGGACCTAACAGCTGCTTCATTGGCAGACTCCTCCCAGTGGCCAGGGTCCACTGTGAGCCAGTTGGGGTGTCAGCGGCACACCTCACGTCAAAAAGGACCTGACAGCTGCTCCACTGGCAACCTCCCCTTCACCCCCTGCCCCCGTGATCCACCGTGAGCCAGATGGGGGGGTTGGCAGCACACCTCACGCAGTCATGCAGCAGGTCCTGGCAGATAATGCATGTGAGCGTCTCCTCCATCTTGTCTGGCTTCATGGCAGTAGCTCTGACGTCCTCACGGGGAGGTTGGGTATTTCTACCCTGGTATGCAACCAACTGCTGCAGGTTCGGGTCAAGTGCCTCACCTAGGAGAGAAAGGCATATGTTCTGACAGGCACACCACAGCAGAACTTGATGCATAGCCTCGTATTATAGAGCCCAGCCTGGAGACAAGGGGACTCCTCAGGCTGCAGATGCAGTGCTGACCTTACGTTTGTATCTACAAAGACCATTTTTAGGGTGGCTCCAGATAAGTCTCATGTTCCAGTATGTTTACGTTCTGGTGTAGAGGAACAGTTCCTGACATAAAATGACATACACAATGTATAGCTAAGAAAGAAAGGATAAGCTAGGTGCATGCCTATAGTACCAGCTACTTGGGAGGCAGAGTCAGGAGGGTCACTTGAGCTCAGGAAATCAAAGCCAGCCAGGGAAGCACAGCAAGACTCTACCTCAAAAGAAAAAAAAAGGTGGGAGGGGGGCAGGCTGAGAGGCTCGGGTTAGGGACCACAGACCTGTAATCCCAGCAAGTTGGGAGGTAGAAGGCACGCAAGTTCAAAGCCAGCCTGAACAATTTAGCAAGACCCTAACAGCTTAGTGAGACCCTGTCTCAAAATCAAAAATACAAAAGATTGGTGATGTGCCTCAGTGGTTAAGTACCCCTGGATAGAATTTCTACTACAAAAAAAGAGAGGAAGAAAGAGAGAGAGAGAGAGAGAGATGGGCCAGCTGTTAAATAGTATTTGTCTTTTTTTAAAAATAATGTCCTTTCTGGAAGTCTCTAAGATTTTTTTTTTTTTAAGAGAGAGAGAAAGAGAGAGAGAATTTTAATATTTATTTATTTTTTAGTTTTCGGCGCACACAACATCTTTGTTTGTATGAGGATSGAACCCGGGCCACACACATGCCAGGCGACCGCGCTACTGCTTGAGCCACATCCCCAGTCCATGTTAAATAGTATTTGTATAAATGTAATTTTTTTAAAAAAACAAATGAAAAAGCATGATGCCTGAGTACACAGGAACATGCTAGAAAACAAGACAAAGATGGCACCAGTGGCTTTAAGATGCTCCTTCTCCTGTTATGTTTCTATTGCTCAGGTGTAAGCTCGGATGTTGGTTGTCACAGGTCAATTAATTTATTTATTTTGGTACTGAGGTTTGACCCCAGGGTACTAGACCACTGAGCTACACCCTTTTCTTATTTTTTATTTTGAGACAGAGTCTAGCTAAGTTGTCTAGGCTGGCTTTGAATTTGTGACCCTCCTGTCTCAGCCTCCCAAGTTGCTGGGACTATAGAGGCCTGTGTGCCACATGCCTGGTAATTTTTATTTTTAAAGAAATATTAAACATGTAACTTAAGTCATATAGAAGAATGCAGTCACCTCTGCCCAGCCTGCCTTCACTGCAATTTCACCAGGTGAAGAAACCACTTCCACGTCTTTTACTGCGCCTTTTGGTATTCATTTCCATGTATTTAAATTATAATGCTACATTGACTTATTAATTTTGTTTTATTTAGTGCTAGAAATTGAACTCTGGGCCACTCACATTAGGCAAATGCTCTATCACTGAGCTACATCCGCAGCCTTGATTTACCCATTTTAGAAATCATCACCTGATATCTACCAACACAGGAAGGTGTTTTGGCCCCTGAAACCTTCTTCCAAATATTATCTAACAGGACTGTGGGTTAACTGCAGCAAACGGCTTTCATTGTGTTTATGTAAGCATTCTCTGCTGGGCCGAGCAATATACCAAAATTACCTTTTCTGATTTACACATTTTTTCATCTTTCTGGAGTTATATAATTGCCTTGTTTTTATATGTGTGTATTTTTTGCTATAAAACTGCTGCTGATTCTTCCCATGCCTTCCCCAAGTTGATTAACTAACTCCCCAGTCTTCACATAGCTCCATTTCTCCCAAAGACCAACTGGGTCCTGTAGTGCCCTGGGCCTGTTGCACATAGCCAGCATTACCCATCACATTTCCACATCTTAAAAATAATCTCTTAAATTTTGGCTTTTAAAGTACAGACATTTTTTTTTTTTAAAGAGAGAGTGAGAGAGGAGAGAGAGAGAGAGAGAGAGAATTTTTTTTTTTAATATTTATTTTTTAGTTCTCGGCGGACACAACATCTTTGTTGGTATGTGGTGCTGAGGATCGAACCCGGGCCGCACGCATGCCAGGCGAGCGCGCTACCGCTGAGCCACATCTCCAGCCCCAGACATTTTTTTATCTAAATCATCTTCAATGTGAAGGCTCAAACTATCATCTAAGACAACATCAAAGCAGGGCATTGTGGTGCACATCTATAAGTCTTAGGAGGCTAAGGCAAGAGGATTGCAAGTTCAAGGCCAATCTGAGAATTTAGAGAGACTCTTCTCAAAATAAAAAATAAGTTGGGGTTGCAGCTCGGTGGCAGAGCACTGTCCAGAATGCACAAAGCCCTGGGTTAAACCCTAGTTACACACACACACACACACACAAAAAAAAAAAAAAAAAAAAAAAATCTAGAGAGAGAACTCTGGCATCCATGTTGCAATCAGGAATATACTACCTCTAGACCCAAGACTGTAGCCTGGTGGCAAGCAGTTCCATCCAGATCACACAATGGGAAAGAAAAGGCCCCAATTTCATTAAGCAAATGTGAGGTGCTGCAGTAATCATCTGAGGGGGTCTCCATGGGCAAGCTCAAATGAAGCCACATGCAAGGCCATGGCCACCAACCCAGAGTACCCCTAGCACCTCGTGGAGAGGGCAGAGGATGCATGGAGCTGCAAGACCAACCTGCTTTCATTTTCTTTTTCATGGGCTCCAGATTCTCCTGGTTCTGGGGTTCCAGCAAAGAAAACTGTGCTCCCTCTCTGTCTGGGAGAGCTGACGTAAGGCTGGAGAGTTCACCACTTCCCACAGATGGACCACATCCTTTTAGGGAGAAGCCTGTACCCCCGGGTCCTGTGAAAAGGGAAAAACAAGACAGGTTCTAATTTCTCTATTTCATGAGAGAACATGCTGGTAAAGTATCACTGATTTAAGCCAAATGCAATCTGCAGTCCAAGATATCATAGTTTAAGAATGACACATCACTTCTGCTATGTCAATACCATGAACATCATGTCTTATATGCATTTGGGCCCATTTCTGTGTGAATGGAGCTGGGGGCAAAAGTACATTCACAAGGGAAAAAATGCAGAGATGACTTTGACAGAACCAGCCCTGAGCACTGGTGGACCACGTGCAAACCCACATGCCAACAATCACACAGTGCACATTTCAGGGCGAATGTTCCAAATAGAGGCCCATGTGAAGCAGAGGCCTTTGGCAGGAGTGGAGCAGTTGTATGATCATGGGAAGGAAGAGGGCAGTCATTGGCAGGCATAGCAGAAGAAGCTAGAGACACATAACTGGAAGGAGTTTGGCAATTTACTACATCCTCTATCTTCATTGAGATCTAGTTTGGAATATCACAGTATGACAGGTATGTGGTCCATGATATTCAAACCATGTTATCATATGATAAAATGGCTTAGAGTAGCTGAGGAGAAAAGAATGACTTTGGAAACAGCTGAACCCCTTTACTGAGGGGAAAAGCTAACAGCTCCCGGGCTGGCTCCTGTCCCCACCACTCACACTACAACTGTGAGAGGCTGCTGTGCTTCGATCTCCAGAATAAAGAGCATGGTAATGGCTCCTCCCTAACTGGCTCCATCAATGAGTCTTAACCAAAAAAGAGCACTTACTACACTTCTCATGTCTAATAGGTGCTCAACAAGTCTTCACCATAGTTACTTTGTTAGTGTAAGTGTTTTGCTACTGTTAATGTTTATAAGTATAATTGTTTTCTTAGTGTTAGTGTTTAGTGTTAGTGTTTGTAAGCATATTATACATATATGCTTAGGCATATGGACAGAAAAAATTTTATTATTTAAAATTTACAAATATATGAATGCATTACCTCTTTAAAGAACTTAGAACATTATCACAGTTTATCAGACTAAACACAATGCACACAGATGGACAGAATAAAAGATTATCTAACTTAAGGTTCTCTTTAAACTGTCCCATGCCTGAGTTCTGAGGAAGTCCTTATAATATTCATAAAATGCCAGGTTAGGATGACAGATGTGGCATGCCTGACCTAAGCATGTGGCTAGAGAGCTGCACCCAACCCAGAGCCTGCCCTTGAGTGTGATGAGCCATGCAAGTGGACTGAGTAGCACTTCCACTTCTTTAGGACTATCATCGCATGGAATGAGTCACAGGTGTTGGAACCAGTTGTGGAGAGCCAGCACACATCCCACCTGTGCTATCTATACTTGAGGAACCCTGGTGAAGGTGCACAGGCCTAGAGAGCTTTAAGACTTTGTCTAGTTGATCACTCAGGTCTGGCATGTTTGCCTTTTGAGTGTGATTGCAATTTCTTTCATTCATAAATTTGAGTTAATTATGTTAAAATGAAGGCATATCAAGAGACTTTAAGAAGCTGGGGCTTTAGTTTAAAAGTTTACATGGGCTGGGCATGGTGGCAATGCCTATGATCCAATCATTCAGGAGGCTGAGCAGGAGGACCACAAGTTGAAGACCAGGCTGGGCAACTTAGCAAGACCCTATCTCAGAACAAAAAATTTTTTAAAAGCTGGAAATGTAGCTCATTGATATGAGTGCCCCTGACTGGATTCAACCCCAGTATTGGGAGGGGGGACGACACTTCATTGAAAAATCAAAGAACACCAAGTACAGTGGTACATGCTTATAATCCCAGCAGCCTGGGAGATTGAGGCAGGAGGATCACAAGTTCAAAGCCAGCCTCAGCAATCTAGCAAGGCCCTAAGTAACCCGATGATACCCCGTCTCAAAACAAAAAATAAAGAGGACTGGGGATGTGGCTCAGTGGATAAGCACCCCTGGGTTCAATCCTTGGTAGCAAAAAAAAAAAAAAAAAAAAAAATCAAAGACCTTAATAACCAGGGAGAAATAACATCTTCCTGTTTTTGTAAAAATATCAATCCTCCCCAAATTAATATCTCAAAAAGATTTCTTTTTAACTTTTTAACTCTAAAGATAATCTAGATGAGAAATACAAGTGAATAACTGAGAAAGTAAACTAAAAAATAAGCATAGACTGTGGTCTAATTACTGAATATATGTGTACACCACTTGCAAGGACATATTTATATCATACYGCACCTGAATGTTCTGACTTTATCCCAATAACTGTGGGGAAAGCCAAAAAGAGCTAAGCTATCAGGAACAAGGCATGTAAAATTGGTTTTAAACTATACATTTCTCTGCTGAGCTTAGTGGTACATTCCTGTAGACCCAGTGACTTGGCAGGCAGAGGCAGGAGAATCATAAACTTGAGACCACCCTCAGCAACTTAGGGCACCCTGTCTCAAAATAAAATAAAAAGGACTGAGGTATATAGCTCAGTGATACAGCACTTGTATAGCAAGCACAATGCCTGGGGTTCCATCCCCAGTATCACTTTTTTGTTTTTTTTTTTAAATATACTCTACCCTGAGTAAACCCTGAAATATTATACCAAGTGAAAGAAGTTGGTCACAAAAGACCACATACTGTATGATTCCACATTTGTGAAATGTCCAAAACAGGCAAATCCAAAGCAACGTATTTCCTTTCAAGTGACAGAATGTTCCAGACTCAGTGATAATGGGCATTTATTGCAATTTTGTGAATACACTAAAAACCACTGATGTGTACACTGTAATTGTGTGATGTGTACACTGTAATTGTGTGATGTGTACAGTATACGGAGCATACCTCAATAAGAAATAAGAGAATATAGAAATACCATGGTACCTGCAGCATTTCTCTTGGGGAAGGACAGGTCAATACTTGCCACTACAGAATTCCTGCTAAGGAGAGCCTTGGTCAAGGCTTTTCTGTCTGTGACAATGTGGTAAAGATTAGGAAACAAAGCACCRTGGTTGTCACCGTGACCTCCTCCATCTCACCAGAGCTGAAGGAATGCTCTCGCCCTGTGGCAGTTGGCTCTGTGGAAGAGGTGGAGGCCCTGGGGAAGATGTCTGATGTCGATGTTGATGGCTGTGGTTCCTCCAAGCATGCCTGAGTGGCGGGAGACAACGAAGGTGGGACCTGGGGGTCGTCACCCCGTCCTGGATCTGAGGACTCTTTGGTCACATGGAACACATTTTCTTTATTGGCTTCTGCAAGCACAAAAGGAACACAAGGAACACATACTGAGAGCCCAGGAAGACATCCCAGGGCTGGAACCAAAGGACACTGCCCCCCACGCATCCATGTCTTTGCCACAAGATCACTTACCGAAGGATTCTCGTGTCATGCCTTGCTTTTCACGTAGAGATTCATAGAGGTATGCCACATCTAGGAGTAAATCAACCCTATCAGAGGGTGGCCATGTAGGAGGGGCCCCTCATCTCGCAGCCCATCTACCTGCTGATTATCTTCACTTACCAGCCAGTAACCACATTCACCAGTTTAAGAGATTCTAACACAATTGACATGCAACATCTTTGCCAACTAAAATAAGCAAGCCTCAGGGAATGACCTCAGGAGGCAGACTAAGGCAAATAATACATGCTGCTCATAATTAAAGGAAAGAACAAACTCAAGATTCTTCCATGTGGCAAGGGGCTAGTTTTATGCCCACTGTGCCCTAAGGAACCTTTGCCCCTGCTTCTTCTTCCTTACCAAGGAAGATCTCCCTGTGTTCTTTGAGTCTCAAGGATGCCTTTAAATCAGAGGGCTCCCAGCACTCCTTGTCCTACTCAGTGATCATGGGCATGCAATTTTGTGAATATATGTCATTCTCTCTCTCACACACACAGAGTCCTGGAGCTGACCTTCACTGCCTCCTATACAGTCTCCAAGAGCAGAGCCAACAAGGGCCCAGGCCCTCTTCCTAGGTTTTGCTTCCCACAGCTCCAGTTCTTCCACCTGGCCCCACTTGCTCCTCCTCGGCTGTTTTGATGCGCTGCTCATAACTATGGAGGCATTCTTGAAGAAAGGCTCTGACTGTGGTCGACACTACCATTCTCCAGCTGTTTACACCAAGAGTTCACACAAACAACAAAGGGAATATATATAGGAGACATCTGTGCCAACACTTTCTAAAGATATGCCCCAGCCTCAGCTGGACACTCCCTTAGCATAGCACTGGGGATGAGTCTAGCCAGTATGTTTTCCTCTCTTACTGTGTTCGGGCTCATTTTTCCTGTACACCAAGTAGATGACATCCCCCGTCTGCAGAGGACAAGTCTGCTTCTTAACCACCTTCAGCTTGTTGATCACAGTTCCATTGGTACTGTAAAGAAAACAAAGTGCAATTTATCCTTCTCAAAGTAATTTGGGATTAAATTATTTTTCTACCACCATTAGGAAACTGGCTCAATATTATCATTTTGAAAATACTCATAGGAATGATGTAACTATTTTACAAAGCACATATTCAAGTACCCTCTTAAAATTCTCTTGGGGAAAAAGCTTGCCTGTTACTCCTTTACTGACAACCTACCTGGCAACCAAACCATTTGTCTCATCGAGTGTTTTAATAATTCTGGTACTCCCATGCCAGACTCCCTTCGAGTGCCTCCTGGTGGGTCCCGAGGCCCCTCAGTAGCATTGTGCTTCCATTTCCAGCCTCTTGGGAGTTGTGGGCAACACTGTCCACATGTGCACCCTGGCATCGCATCCCCCAGATAAGCATAGCTCCTTCCTAAGAGATGGGTGCTGGCTCTTGGGAAGATGACTTGGCCCCTGTGCTCAGAACACACAGCCTGGATCAGCAGTGGCCACACTGCTGGATGGGAAAGGTCAAGGTCCATGGTGTAAGGGGAGGACCAAGTAAGAGGGAACAGGAAGTGCTTCCTGGGGAAGATCTAATGTGTCCAGGAGTCAGCTACATGACAGATACTGAATGTATAAAACTCAGCATCTGAACCACCACATGCCTCAGCTTTGCAGGCTCACTAGGAGGAGGGGATTCACATCTGAGCAGTTCACTGAGGTCAGGGAACAGGAAACATTTTCTGTAAAGAGCCAGACAATAAGAGTTCCCGTTCTGTGGTCACAAAGTCTCTGTCCAACTACTCAGCTCTGCTGCTATAATGTAAAAGCCGCCAATGACAGGATGTAAACAGTCACAGCCATGCCCAGTAAACCTACAACAAAAGCTGGATATGAGCTGGCACAGTAGTTCACAAATGTAATCCCAGCAGCTCAGAAGGCTGAGGCAGGAAGATCACAAGTTCAAAGCCAGCCTCAGCAACTTAGAGAGGCCCCATGTATCTTAGTGAGGCCTTGTCTCAGAATATAAAATGGGCTGGGGATGTGGCTCAGTGATTAAGCACCTCTGGGTTCAATACCTGGTATCAAAAAGAAAAAAAAAAAAAAAGCTGGATGTGGTGGTGCACATCTGTAATCCCACCTACTCTGGAGGCCAAGGTAGGAGGATTGCAAGTTGAAAGTCAGCCTCAGCAACTTGGCAAGACCCTGTCTCAAAAGAAAAATCGGAGATGTAGCTCACTGGCAAAGCATTCTTGGATTTGATCACCAGTACTGGAAGAAAAAGAAAAAAAAAAAGCCTGCAACAAGCAGTGCATCAGAGTGTTGACCTCGACCATGCAATGCAGCAGGCCCGAAGCCCCCACAGCTCACCCTCACAGGATCCTCCTCCCCAGCTCCTGCAATGACTTCCCACTGCTCTCAGCTGGAGCCCACACTCCCTGGAGTGGCTTCCCATGCACCACTCTGACCACATATCCCAGTACCTCTGGGCCTTGGCCATGCAGTGCCTCCTGCCCGGCTGCCCCTTCCCCTGTAGCCTACCTCTGCCCAGGCACGCAGCATCTCTGGATGCTAGAGAAAGGAAGGAGTGGAGTCTCCCTGGAGCCTCTAGAAGGAACCACTGGTCCAGACCTTGATTTTATTTTATCTTTTCCTTGCTTTTTATTGGTGTATTGCAATTACACATAACAATGGGATTCATTGTCACACATTCCATGTGTGTGTGATATAACTATAATTTGGTCAGTATTGTTCCAAACCTTGATTTTAGCCTAGTTAGACCCATGTTGGACTTTGAAACTACACAACTAAGATGATGAATTTATCAGACATCATAGGGCATCCCTGTATTCAAACCAAAAATGCATCCATTGCTTGTGAGTCTTGTTTATGAGCCATATTTAACTTAATAGGAATGCATGGGCCACAGACACCACACATCACCCAGGTGTCCCTGCTGGAAACCTGAAGTACATCTGCCACAAGGAGCTCCTGGGTCAGAGGAAGGAGCCACGGGGTTGCACTCAAAACAATGCCTCAGTCTCCTGAGCCACACGAGCTCACAGGAAACTAGTGCAGGACTCTCACCTGGTATCTTCCAGTGTTGCCTGGCCAGACTTCTCATCCACWAGTATTTTACAGTGATCTCCAGAGACCAGTTTATTGCTAGGGAACGAGAGGTCACAACCTAAAACAGAGAGGGTAGCAGGACACTGGACATGACTCTCGGGTTCGGCAAACACTACTGCCTTGCTTCATTAAAGCAGGTGACAGTGGCACACACCCCTGGAAACAGTACTTGTGTGCCAGAGCATTAACCCAGAGGGACAGGGTCTGGCCCACCCCCATCAACACCTCAACAGCTTTTTCCCGGCAATTTTATAGCATGCCCACATGCACATCTAGTCCAATAAATATTATCAGAAGTTTTAAAAAAACTCAGGGGCTTAATTAGCTCTTCAGTATTTCACCTACCCCTTAACTTCTTCTCTATGTAAACTTAGGTTTCATAAGTCATCACAAAACTGAAGCAATGACAGTCACAGAATATATAAAACCAAATTATCATAGGCACATGTATAAGAAAATATAAAACAGAAGGGGAATGTGTCCACAACTGACTAAAGTCATTGTGTCTTCAATAAATATAAGAGGGGATATCTTCAAATACTTACTTGCTCTCGTTTTAAATCAAAAGGAAAACTATCAGAAGCTTTTAAATGTCTAATCACTAATTACCACTGCTTATAAGAGCAGTCTATGATGATACATAATGATACTAAAGAATTAAGGGCAATTAAAAAAGGAATTGATACTGGGCATGATGGCACACACCTGTAATTCACAGCTCCAGAGGAGACCAACAACCCAAAGCAGTGGAAGATATGGACATGTCACAGCCCATCTAAGTCCAGTGAAAGTTGGTTTCATGGAAGGTGCCCCCAACCCCCAAACACACAGAGCTGCCATTTGGGCTTCCAAAGGATAAAGTGGCCAAGAACTGAGATAGCTATAGGAGGAGGTCATGGCAAGGTTGAGGATGTGGCAACACTGGTCTGGGAGCTGTGGATGACAGAAGTAGTCAGAAGTTTACTATTGTTAAGAGGCAATTCTCTGGCTAGGATTTAGCTCAGTGGCAAAGAGTCTGCCTTGCATTTGCAAAGCCCTGGGTTAGACCCCCAGTTCCAAAAAAAGATAAAAAAAAAAAAGATGCCAGTTATCGCCAGATGTGGTGGGACACGCCTATAATCCCAGTGGCTGTCGCAGGAGGATTGCAAGTTCAAAGACAGCCTCAGCCAAAGTGAGGCCTTAAGCAACTCAGTGAGACCCTGCGTCTAAATAAAATACAAAATAGGGCAGGGGATGTGGCTCAGTGGTCAAGTGCCCCTGAGTTCAATACCCAGTATCCACCCTCCCCCCCCCACCAAAAAAGATGCCAGTTCTCTCCTGGATTATTTCACTTATTTGATGCAATTCCAACCAAAAGCTCAGAAGGCTTACAGAAACTGCAAACTGATTTTAAAGTTCATAGGAAACAATTTATTAGCATATCCAAGGGAATTTTGAAAAAGAACAAAGTTGGAAGATTTAGATATCTTGACTAACTTAGCAAGAAAGACAGTGTTATGTTGGTGTAAGGAAGGCCAGTCATAGAGAAATGCAAAACCTAAAACTACGAAGTTTGTGGTGGAAAACAAAGAAAAAAAATCTTACTGATGCTTGCTCTGGTGAGAATTTCTTAGACAGGATGCAAAAAGTACAATCCAGAAAGAAAAATATTGATAAAATGAAGTTCATCCAAATTATATATCTAGCTAGATGTGGTGGTTCTTGTCTGTAATCCCAGATACTTTGGAGGTTGGGGCAGGAGGATCACAAGTCTGAGGCCAGACTGGGCAATTTGGCAAGACCCTGTCTCAAAAGGGGAGGGCTGTGAGGCTGGGGATGTAACTCAATGAAGAACACTTGTGTATCATCTGCAAAGCCCTAGGCACCATAACAAACAAACAAAATTAAACATCTGTTCTTCAAAAGACTCTGCCTATGAAGATGAATGGACAAGCCACAGACTAGTGAAAATACTTGTGAAGCACTCATCTGATAAAGGTATTGTATCCAGAATTTACAGCTGACACTGGCAACTCAATAACAAGAAAGTCAACAATGCAATTTTAAAAGATTCAAACACTTTATCTCTTTGATAATCTCTTTGAGATGTGGATGGCAAATAAGCAGATGAAAAATGTCCAACATCATTAGAGAAATGAAAGTGAAAGCCTTCCAACACCACCACAGAACTGGCTCAAAGTAAGACTGACTACATCCAAGGCTATCAAAGAGCAAGTGGAACAACCAGACCAGTCATGCACTGCTAGGGGGAATGAAAAACAGCAAACCATTCTGGAAAACACTTTGGGAGCTTCTGACGGTGATAAGCATACACTTAACACATGACACAGAAATCCCACTCCTAAGTATTTAGCTAAGAAAAATAAATATGCATGTCCAAACAAAGACCTGTAAACTTGTATGTATAATAGCTTTATTTCTGATAAAACAAGAAACAAACTAATGTCCATCCATTGCTAGTTAACTAACAAACAAAATGTGGTATGTACAAAAGCAGAATACTACCCACCACAAAAGGAACAATCACGGACACAAGCAAGAGCAAAGAACAACTATCAGAACACCCCTCCAAGGAGAGTCGCAGAGTGGGTACAGGTCTGTGGGGGATTCTGTGTTCCACCTGGATGGCACTCCAGAAAGCCAGAGCCACAGGGATAGAAAGTGGACACACTGGTGGCTTCCAGGAGCCGGGGTTGAGGGAAGGGGCTGTGGGACCAGGATGTGCTCTTTATGGTCACCAGGGGACTTTCTGGATGCTGGAAATATTCTACATCTTGACTGGTGGAGCTGGACTCATGGAACTAAACACTAAAACAGATGTTATCATATGTAAATCTCTCTATAAAAATAGATTTAAAAATCATATTTTTGCTGGGCACAGTGGTGCATGCCTGTCATCCCAATGACTCGGAAGGCTGAGACAGGAGAGTTGAAAATTTGAGGCCAGCCTTGGCAACTTAATGAGACTCTGACTCCTTAATAAAAAATAAAAAGGGCTGGGGATATAGCTCAGTCGTAAAGCACTCCTGGGTTCAATTTCCAGTACCAAAAAAAAMMCCAAAAAACCAAAAACCAAACCTTACTTACATAAACGTTATATATTTTTGGAATTACTTTGTTACATTTATCCAAGGTGAATATCACCTGTGGTCAAGATATTCTCACTCCACCGAGCATATCCACCAGGACGATCCCCTCATAGCCAAGCTCCAGGTGCCAAGTGCATCACCAGTATGGATTTCAAGACAGGCTTCCATATGCCAGCACTCGCACATTCTAGTTTGGAACCAAGATGATCTGCCCGGCTTGCCACTGTGGGTGAGGTTCTTAAATTCCTTCCTAGATGCAGCTCGGTGCTCCTCCCCAGTGCCTGGCACGTGGCAGGCAAGCATTCTTCTCAGATAAACATACAGTCACACAACTCTGAGGACCCAAGGCTGTGCCCCCCACAACTCATGTAGAGGCCCCAAAGTGACTACCTGAAGGTAGGACCTGTGGRGAGTCGACAAAACCGAAATGGGTCACAAGGGCATGGCTCTGATCTGATGCAACTGGTGCTCTTTTTCTTTTCTTTTTTTCTTATTTTTTTTGTTGGGGAGGGTATGAGGGATCGAACCCAGGGATGTTTAWCAACTGAGCAACATCCCCAGCTCTTTTTATTTTTTATTTTGAGACAGAATCTTGCCAAGATACTTTGGGACTTACGAAACTGCCAAAACTGGCTTTGAACTTGCCATTCTCGTGTCTCAGCCTCCTGAGTTGCTGGGATCATAGACATGTGCCAGGCAGTTAGTGTTCTTTTTTAGCTGTAGAAGGACACAATATCTTTATTTTATTTATTTTATTTTTATGTGGTGCTGAGGATCGAACCCAGCACCTCACACATGCTAGGCAAGCACTCCACCACTGAGCTACAATCCCAGCCCTGGTTAGTGCTCTTTTAAGAAAAGGGAAAGAGACCAGCATGTGCCTTCTTTACCAGATGAGGACACAGCTAGAAGGCAGCCCCTGCAGGAACACCATCCTCACCAGGAGCCAAAGTGGCCAGCATGGACTTTACCTGGGCTTCCCAGACTCCAAAACTGAGAAATAGCTTTTTAAGCCACTGTTCAAGCCACTCAGAATGTGTATTTTATTATGGCAGTAAGAACAGACTAATACAGCACCTTTATGTTTTTGATAGCACCATTATTAATGCATTCACTGAAAGTACTTTTCTTAAAGCAGATTTTTCCTCCCTGCCTCAATCATGAAGTTGAATGTCTTGACGTGTAATAGCATGCATAATGTGCTATAACAGTGACTGATGAAAGTGCTAACTATAAGCCAGGCTTGTTTCAGCAGTTCACATATGATCTTATTTAATCCTCACAGCAACTCTACGAAGGAGACACAAAGACTTGGAAAGGTATGTTGTTAGCCCAAAGTAAGCTGTGTTGGTGACAGGTTGGAAACCAGGAAGCCTGCTTCCAAGGCCTCTACTCTTACCAAATCTTAGTATAAAGGTGCAGGCACATTGTAAAAGGTGAAACTAACCTAAAATATTTGTTTCAGGATAGCAATCTTTCCCATTCTCTCTCCCTCTTTTTTTTTCTTTCAGTACTAGGGATAGAACTCAGAGGTGTTCTGCCACTGAACTGAACTACATTCCCAGTCCTTTTTAACACAGAGTTTCACCAAATTGCCTAGGCTGCACTTGAACTTGTGATCCTCCTGCTTCAATCTTCCAATTAGCTGGAATTATAGGCATACTCCAAGGCACCAGGCTCATTCTCCCTCTTTTAAAGCATGAAGTCAGTGGGGCATGGGGGCACATGCCTGTGAACCCAGTGACAGGAGGTTAGGGCAGGAGGATTTCAAGTTCAAGGCCAGCTTCAGCAACTTAGTGAGACCCTAAGCAACTTAGTGAGAACTTGTCTGAAATTTTTTAAAAAATTTATAAGGGCTGGAGATGTGGCTCAGTGGATAAGTGCTCCTGGGTTTGATCCCCAGTACCAATCAACCAACCAACCAAACAAACAACAAAAACAAAAACCTATGAAGTCAGAGTGACGATATATTAATTTTCAGACAAACTAAACATGCTATGGACTTCACTAGCTTACTTCTCTCCAACCAGGAAAGCTACAAGGGAAGTTAAATTACCAGATGGCAGCTGAGGAGTCTAAAAACAAGTAGTGCAGAAGTTGAAGGTACTTTATCTCCCTAGTTGTGTGCAATTTTGTTCAAGTCTTTAGCTTCCTATACTCATTAAGCAAATACTTATTTAAGGAGCTAGGAATGAGATCTTATTAAATGTAGACACTACAACCATAAACTGACCTTCCTCACTGCTTACCTGCATTCCATAAATATCAGTATATTCTTTGTCTTCACTTGTTTCAAGGTATTCTCTAATGTCCCTTGTGGCTTCTTTGACCCCCATCATTTAAGATTTGTGTTTAATTCCCACATAACTGTGAATTTGCTAATTTCATTCCACCATTTTTAGAGAAGAAACTTTGTGYAGTAACGAACGTGAGAAATTGTTTTCTGAAGGATATATTAATGAAACTAGTCTATAAAGCCATGAATAAGGAATAAATGAACTACACGAAGCATTCGGAATTGCACCTGGGGCAGACAAATATATGAATAAATGGCAGGTCTTACATGAGCCCATTTCATGAAAGTGGAAWGCACAGTGCACCCCCAGCAGCCTGGTGGGCTCCCCCGCCACCCACTCCCAGTCCTCGTCTCTCTTGCTGGTCCCGCCTTCGGTCCTGTCCCTCCCCACCCGCGTCCTGCCCTCGGTGCCAATCCCGGTCGGTCCCTGTCCCCCCTCCGCTCCGTTCCATCGCCCCGGGCCGCGCACCTCGCCTCCGCCCGATGGTCCACTCGCGTTTCCACAGCAGGACGTGCGGCTCGCTCTCCTCTGCGCCCAGGCGGAGGAGCCTCCCCCAGGGCTGCTGCGGCGGCTGCTCGCCTCCCCCGGGCGGCTCCATCGGACTCACGCCTACTGAGACCCGGAAACGCCTTCTGAAGGAGGCCCCGCCGGCCCGCGGGCGCGCGAGACTCGGCGCCCCCGACGCCGCCCGCCGCCCCCGGGCCTCTGGCCCACAGCCTCCACTCACCCCGCGCCCCGCGCCGGCCCCGGAACCGGCCGCCCCGCCGCTGTCAACAGACATCGCGGCCCTCAGCTGATCCGCGGGCGGGGCCGCCCGGCGCGCCCTGCAATTGGTTGGCGGCGACACGCACCGAGAGCGGCGGCTAGAGCGGCCGGGGGAGCGGCCACCAAGAGTCGGCCTGCGACCAGCGGAGTGTGCGCAGACGAGAGGCTGCGGACCAGACCGCCATCTTTGGTGCTGGCAGGGACAACTTCATCTTCGGGGATCACGGAAGTAGCTGCGGTGGGCGCCATGTTATGTTGGGGCAAAGGGCATGCAGTGACTTCTGGATTGGACGTGCGACGGTTCTTAAAGCCTTACTCTAAATCTACACGCCTTTCGGCGATAGAAGCAACAGTGCGCTTTACCTGTAGTGAGATAAGTGTAAACAGGATGACTTTCATACCCCGTTGTCACTTAGGGGTTACCGAGACGGGACAGGCTGGCCGCTAGGGCTAGCTCTCGCCCTTGAATGACAGGGTTGGTGGGAGCAAAAGGTGGGAGCCCAGCTCCGAGGGTCTGCGGCGTCCTTCCACGTGCAATGCCCTTTCCTTGACGCGGCAGTCCCACTTCGTGGAACCTAGCGGCACTCCCGGGTGTGGTTCAGAGAACACCACTCTGCCCTCTTCAAACATGACCGAGGACCAAATGACGGTGGGCACGGCCATGCACATGCCTTCTGGGCGGCTCAGAGGAGCCAAACAGCGGTCTACACTGGTGAAGACCTCCGAATTTAGTATTAAAGTGTGAGGTAGGCACCAGTTTTTGTAAAAAAAAATAAAAATAAAAAAATTAAAAAAAAAAAAATATATATATATATATATCCCGATGTGCTTTCCATATAACCGGTTGAGAAAGGATATATATACACACACACACACACACACACACACACACATATACATATATAAACATTCGTAAATATAGGTGGGTAAATGCATCTCCACCTATATTTGCAAAAATAAGAACATCTCTGAGACATGGTAGTAAGGCAGGCCAGGGACTGAGGAGGCTGAGGCAGGAGGATCACAAGTTCAAGACCAGCCTGGCACCTTAGCAGAGACCCTGTCTCAAAATAAATAAAAGGGCTGGCATGCAATTCAGTAGTAGAGCTGTTGTCTAGGATGTGCAAGACTCCAGGGCAGACCCCAAATACTCCCCTGCCCACACATAACACGCTCCCTTCTCCCACTAAAATTTTCTAAAAGTTTGCACAAGGGAACAGCAGTGACTGCCTCTGGGACATCATGGACTTGTGGTGGAGGGAGTGATGAGACATCTGTCACCACACACAGCCCTGCCTCTCTTCAAGACGGGGTGTGGTCTGAGAAATGCCTCAGTGGGCAGTGTTGTGTGCCCATCAGGGTATATGTGCAAAGTCTGGGTGCAGGAGTGTGCTGGGCATGGGGTGTACACTCTTAGACCTTTGTTCATAAGCCACAAACCTGTACAGCATGTTACTATATGGAATACTGTGAGCAGCCRTAACAATGGTATCTCTGTATCTAAACAGAAAAGGAACAGTAAGAGTATAGGCAATAGGAGTTTTTAGCCCCATTATCATCTTAAGGGACCACCATTGTATATGGGGTCTGACGTTAACCAATGTATTACTGTATCACTCTGGATTCCACCAGAGAAGTAGATGAGTAAGATGATGTCCCTAGCACAGCAAGACCCGTGAATTCCATCACCATGGGCCCTTGGTGATCCTGTTTTCTGTGAAGCTGGTTCCTTGCTCAGAATTGGCATGGTGTGGAATACCATGAGGGACGTGGCATCCATGAATCTCTGGATGGTGGCTTTGGCAGAGACGAAGCATTCAGGAAGACAAATGCAAATGCAGAGCTTCTGTTCCAGTATGAACAGCATGCTGCCCTTCCATGACGGAGGTGGTCCACTGTGATGCCCTAAGAAAGGATGCCATAGGGAGGCTTGGCATCAATCTCCACTGCTGCCAGATGGGCACTCAGCATCGGCTGTGGCCAGGTCTGCCTTGGTGAGAGGAAGTCAATGTTGCTGAGCCCATGAGTAACCTCCATCCCCATCACTGTGGCCATTTTGTTCATGAGCTCTCGAGTAGTGACATGGGAGGCTGGGAAGAGAGGCTGACATCCACAGACCAGGTTGCCCTGTTCACTTGACTGTTGAAGCCCCGCTCAGCTGAGGCCCTCCTTTAGAGCACATTCATGGGGACATCACCATTTTCTCATGTTTTCCCATTCAATGACTTGGTGCTCCATTGCTAAGTATTCATGTAGCAAGCACTTACACTGTTAAGTTTTGCTTGCCCCTCCTCCTCCATTTTGCATCTGTCTCCTTTGTTCTGAGTGACCCTGTACTCCAGGGACAATTGGTCTGATCAATAAACATCTTGAGATGAACCAAAACTAAGCCAGGTAACAGCAACCTTCTTATCTCTGACAAGACCCCCCCAGCCAGTCCTGAGATAATGATGGACAGACCACACCTCATCAAGGTCCCCTGCTTCAGCAGCTGAGCATTCCCATGTCTATTAGGCCTCAAAGCCACTGCCAACCCCTGGAAGACAGGGCTGAGGACACAGTCCCATCTTCCTAGGGTAGTGGCACTAATCACTGCTCATCACCATTACTTTTTCCACCTGCTGTTTGGGGCTAGTGGAGACCTGATTTGTTAGAGCCCCAGAGTCAGGCCTTTGGCTTAGGACTCTGGTAACATTCAGTCCCTGTGATGGTTAACTTTGAGTGTCAACTTGACTGGGTTGAAGGATGCTTAGAGAATTGGAAAATCTTTACTTCTGATCATGTCTGTGAGGTTGTTTCCAAAGAAGACTGGCATATCAGTGAGCAAACACAAGAGCAGACCCATCCTCAGTGTGAACAGGCACCATTCACCATCCAATCTGGGGTGGGGGTGGGGGTGGGGGTGGTTCGGGACAGGCTCAGATGGAACCGGAATGTCAAAGAGGAAGACCGGTTCTTCCTGAGCGTCAGGTTTCCTGCTCCCTTGGATATATGACTCCAGGACTCTGGGRCTTGTACCAGCAGCCTTCCAGTGATTTGTGGGCCTTTTGACTACAGACTGGGGCTGCACCTTTGGCCTTCCTGCTTCTGAGGCTTCTCTGCTCTCCAGGTTGCAAGCAGCTGTAGTGTAACTTTTCAAACTGTGAGCCAACTGTATATACACACATGAATATTCATACACATATATCCTATTGGTTCTGTTTCTTTGAAAAACCCCCAACTAAAACTAAAACAACTCTTTATTTACTTATTTATTTATTTATTTTAGTTGTAGATGGACAACATGCCTTTATTTTATTTGTTTATTTTTATGTGGTGCTAAAGATGGAAGCCAGTGCCTCACTCATGCTAGGCAAGTGCTCTACCACAGMCCCAGCCTCCTAAAGCAACTCTTAATAGGCCCCAGTAGCAAGCCAAAAGCTGGTTCTCAAAAGGAGACTACTTACCTACATAAACATGGGCCTTGCCCAAAGTCCTAAGGGCCTGCATTATAGTTCACCTATGGGGCCTGCCAGAGGGTCCAGGCAGCCCCCTCTGCCACCAATGCCTCAGGCATCACTGGATCTGCTAGGTCATGGGGCTCGAGAGGCAGCACAGCTCCTGCACGCCTAGACCTCAATGGCCTGCTGGTGTACCTGGTCAACAGCTCAGCTGCAGCTCAGGGGCAGAGTGCACATGGCATGCACAAAGGGCTGGTCTCCATCCACAGCTCCACAGTGAATCATGGATGGGCTGAAACAGCACTCCCAAATAAGAAACATTATCTCCAGAGTGTTCACTCAAGTCTGGGAAGTGTCAACAGCAAACAACAAATCATCATATTCAAACTCTGTCTCTTTAATCTGTTAAGGTGATTTACATTGATTAAAAACCTTTTTTTGAAGCAGAGACTGGGCATGGTGGCACACACCTGAATCCTAACTACTCAAGASGCTGAGGCAGGAGGATTGCTACTTCAAGGCCAGCCTCAGCAATTTTTGAGTCAATTAGATAAAATAAAAAGGGCTGGAATGTAGCTTAGCAATAGGGCATCCCTGGGCTCTATTCTCAGTACTGAAAACAAACACAGCGGGCATGGTGACAGATACCTATGATTCCACCATGGTGATCAGTATGGAGGTTCCCCAGAAGAGTAGGTAGGGACCACCACATGACCTAGCTACGCACTCCTCAGTATCAATCCTTGAGAATCAAAAGTCATCTTGCCACAGTGATGCCTGCATCCCCATGTTGATAGCAGCTTGATTTGCAATAGCCAAACTATGGAACCATCCTGGTGTCCCTCAGTGGATGAATAATGTATTATTCAGCCATAAAGAAGAATGAAATAGTTATTTGCAGGAAAGTGGATGGAACTAGAGACCATTATGTAAGCAAAATAAGCCAAACTCAGAAGTGTGTTTTCTCTCCTGTGTGGCATCTAGAGAGGCAAAAAGGGGAAAGAAAGGCATGGGGGTCTCATGGGAATCAAAGGGGGTTCAGCAGAGGCAGGGATGGGGTGAGAGGTGGGAGAAGGAGGGTGGGGTGGCACATCATGGGTGCAGGTGCCAGTCATGACAGTGGCTCCTGTCACTGCTGCCACAGAGCACCAATGAGATGTGGGAAGAGAAAAGAGTCATCAGTGACACCGTCTGGGCCTGGAGTTTTCCTTGTTGGGAGATTAACTGTAAATTCAATTTCTTCAGTAAATATAGAACTGTTTAGTGACCACTATTATCATATTTTCTCTAAAATTTGCTAGAATTTATAGTACTAACTGTTCTGCCACACCTGTAACGCTGTCTTTATCCTGTTCATTGTAGAAACGGACCATTTTATGAACCTTTTAAATTAACCTTTTATCTCTGATTTTCTCTCATTTATTTTTCAGTACTGAGGATTGAACCAGAGACACTGTAAACTGAATTACATCCCCAGCTCTTTCAGTTTTATTTTGAGACAGCGTCTTGCTCCTGCTTTAGTGTCTACAGTATCTGGGATTACAGGCATGTGCCACTGTGCCTGTCCTGTTGATCTGTGTCCTGTGCCTGTAAGTTGATCTGGCAGTGGGGTGTGATGTTGGGTGGGAACTTGTAGAAGAAAGCAGACTTCAGGTGTAATTTAGTTGAATTTTATCTTTTGAACTAGTCATGAGAGGTTATATTGACTACTGGGTTGATGATGCATGTCTGTAATCTCAGTGACTTGGAAGCTAAGGCAGAAGGGTTAGAAGTTCAAGGCCAGCCTCAACAAATCAGAAAGACCCTATCTCAGAATAAAAAATAAAGAGAGCTGGGGATATAGCTCAGTGGCAGAGTGCCCCTAGGTTCAAACATAAATAAATAAATAGATAAATAAATAAATTAATTAATTAAAAGAAGAATAAATAAATAAATAAATAAATAGAAAAGAAAAGAGAAATTATACTGTCCCCTATGTCACAGACAAGACATCAATAGATAAAACTGGCTAAGATGATGGGAGTGGGAATCTCCTTCACTTTGTAAATGAATGCAGCTGTGAAACAATCCTGACAGAGATCATCCTATGCAAATTATAACAAGGACTACAAAACAATTACAGATAACTCAATGCTGTGTTCTACTTATACCAAATATCAAGGCATTTATTTAATCCCTTAGAGACAGAACAGAGTGATACAAAAGTTCATGAACACAGATTGCCCTGTGCTTACTGGCACTGTCCAAAGAGGAGGCCTGCATCAACGTCTGTTTTAGAAGAGATGACATGCGGGTCCAGGGGAAGGGAGCTTCATCGCCACCCAAGGGCTGGTGAGGCAGCAGAGTTGTGGGAATGGAAGCCTCACAGGGAGTTACTCACTGGCAGTCTAGTTAGCCCAGTCAGCTCCATGGTACGTTAGCTAAGCAACTCCTTACTCTCAGGGAGGACAGGCTTCTTTCTGGCAGTGTGTGAGAGGGGACAATGGTAACTGAGGACTGGCAGAGACCACATGAGCTGCACATAAGGAACAGCAGAAAGCGGACAGGGCCTTCCAACCACACAGGGTGACTTCTAGAGCCTGGGCAACAGTTGATCTTGCTCCTGGTCCAGGATGATACAGCCAGTAATAGGGCTTCTTGGAGGTGTGTGGCTGACCCAGAGATAGCTTAAGATTTTGCAAACATTTTGTTTTCTGTTACTGAAAAGGGATTCAGTAATAACTGCAAGCCTGTTTATGTTTGTAACAGACAATAATAGACTCCAGGGCCATAAATGTGAAACACACACACACCCTTTCATATTTGTTATAATTTCTACTGCATTGTTAAAATACAAAGATAAAATATTAATATCTGGAATATGAAATCTTGATAGATATCAGTCTGTGTCCTTGAGGCACAGATACCAGGGCTAATGTTCTTACAATCTTAGTGCTCATTATTTAACACAACGCAGAAAACAAACCACCTTAAGGCTGGGTGTGGTGGTACAGGCCCATTATCCTTCTACCTTCGAGGCTGAGGCAGGAGGATCATAAGGCCACCCCGGGCAGTTTAGCAAGACCTGTTTCACAATTAAAAAGAAAAAAAAAATAAGAAAGGCTTTCGATATAGCTCAGTGGTGGAGCTCCCCAAGTAGTGTGCTCGGGTATGCCCCACACACTCAATAGCAACTCAAGGATGTTAATAAAGGGGCAATCTACAGATATCTCCAAAATGAAACCAAACCAGTGGTGGCACCCAGAGCTGTATTCACCCTAGGTCTGAGGGCAAGGAGAAGGAGAGCTTAGGAAATCTTTAGCCAAAGAGGGGCCACAGCCAGAAAGGCTGTGAACTGGAAAGCCAAGCCAGTGTCCAGCAGGGAGTGGGGAGGGCACAGAGGGTCCCTGCCCTCCCATCCCGATCTGCTCCTGGTACCTTACACTGTTCAAACCTGAGAAGAAAAAACAGTGGAGTCATCCCTAAGACAAACTCTGGGGTGCAAAGGAGAAGGAGCAATGGGCCTGGAGAGACAGAAAGCAATCAGCATGTGAACACCTAGGACTTAGGACTCCCGAGTGTGGCTGCTGAAGGGGACTTACCCTGAGCCCCAGGAACAGCTTCCCACTTGGTTGATGGGGTCCATTCAACTACCCTTTCCCCAAAGCACTGGGGACCAAGCCCAGGGCTGCTCTCACACTGAGCCAGCCCTTTTTCTTCTCAGAGCTTCTGCTCCTCCTGCCTAAGCTTCCTGTACAGCCAGGATCACAGGCATGGCTACTGTGCTCAGCCATATCCAACTGCACTTAAGGGTCACCCACATGCTATGTTGCCAGACACTTCTCATCATCTCAAACACTCAGAGTCTCTGTCATGATACAGGCTGTGAGGGCCAACTCTCCTCTCAAAGCACTCTGAAGTGCTCTCATCGACTCCTCATCGCTATTCGCAGAACTCTGGGCTCCTTAGACAGATCCACACTTCCATTCTATACTGTTCTCTGCTGCCCAGAGCTTCCTTCAGCATCTCCTATGGGCAGGTCAACCTATGGAACAAACAATCTTCTGACTCTAAGAAGGCTTCATTTTGCCTCCATCATTTATAGATTTTTTTTTTTTGAGAGAGAGAGAGAGAGATTTTTTTAATATTTATTTTTTTAGTTTTCGGTGGACACAACATCTTTATTTGTATGTGGTGCTGAGGATAGAACCCAGCAACGCGCGCATGCCAGGCAAGCACGCTACCGCTTAAACCACATCCCCAGCCCTTATAGATGTTTTTGATGGAACCAGAACTCTAGGTTGTGGGGTTTGCTGTGGTGCTTTCTTTCAGTAATTTAAGGCAGCTTCCTTATCTTCTTACACAGCCCTGTCCAGAAGCCCTGCTGTGATTTGTTCCTATGTATGATTTCTCTTCTAGGTGCTTTAAAATTGTTGTCTTTTTGCAGGGCCAGGGAGGGAACCCAGCACCTCACATGTTAGGCCAGCTCTTTTCCACTGAGCTACAACCCAGCCTTTCACTAAATTTTAATTGGAAACAGAGTAGCTTGATATAGGGCTAGTCAGTCCTCTGCTAAAACAGGGCTTCTGAGAGCCCGCCTGCTGCCACACGGTGACCAGCCATTCGTCTCTGGCCAGTTCCCACTTGAATTGCCCCTGCCTTGCACAGCTCCAGCTGTTCCCAGGTTTCCTACACATGTGTAAATCCTTACTCAGCCAAAGGAGTTGGGGATCCCTCAGACAGCCCCTCTCTGTTAAGCACACCTCCACATCTTCCCTGCAAAGTCCAGCTATTGTGGCCCTGTGGGAATCCTTCCCTTCTAACCAGCAAGGCTATTCTTGGCCCCTTCCCTGTGTGGCCACCTGGAAACTGCCACTGTAGTAGGCTGGGTGACCATGAGTCAGCTCCATCTGTCTGGGACCACAGACTACATGTGTCATGTCAAGAATCATCACTGGCCAAGATGTGGAATCAACTCAGGTGTCTGTTGCTGGATGAATAAAAAAAATGTGGTATATGTGCACAACAGGATATCATTCAGACATAAAATAATGGAAATGCTGCTTTTGTTTGCAACAATGAGGTTGGAACTGGAGGTCACCAAGTAAGTGAAATGTGTCAGGCATTGAGCAACAATACCACGTGCAGAAGCCAAGTCTGACCTCAAGGGAGCAGAGACCAGCCAAAATACGTTCCCAGAGGCTGGGAAACAGTGGAGGTGGGGAAGCCAAGAGAGGGTAGCCAATGGGCTCAGATATGTAGCTGGACAGGAGGACTGACTTCTGACATTCTGAAACACAGTAGATTGACTACGGTTGGGAACAGTTAGCTCTGGTTTGCAGAATTGTGATGGAAACCATGGGCACTCTACCACTGAGCCACAGCCCAGCCTTTTTCATTTTTAAACTGTGGGACCCAGGCTGGCCTAAACTTGTGATCTTCTTGCCTCAGCCTCCCAAGATCCTGGATAACAGGTGTGCACTACTGCACCCAGCAACAATTAGCAATACGAATATTTCAAAATAACTAATTAATAGGATCCTGAATATTCTCAACACAAGAAATGTAAAGCTGAGCTAACAGATAGATGCCAATTACAGATATGCCTGACCTGACCATTACACACTGTATCCACACTGTAAAGCCATCCTGAAACCCACAAAAACATACAGTTACTATGTATCAATTAAAAAAAGAAAAAGTCTTTTTACATATAGCTGTTGAAGGCAGGAGCATGCTCTGATCCTGGTTACTCCACCACACACAAGAGAGAAGTCTTCACCCTTCAGCAGACATGTCTGTCTGAGACTGACAGCTATTTGTAATGATTCCTACACAACAGACACAGTTTCCTGGCAGAATTACTTCAAAGACCCTTGGACACCAGGACTCCTCACGTAGACTCTCAAGACACAACGTCCAGCACCTCCTTTCTGATGAGACCTCTGAATCCTGAGGAGTTTGCTCCCCCAGCTTTCCCTGTTGAAGTCTCTAAACGTGAATCCCTGTGACCTCTGACAGAGGGTGCTGCCAATCTCACTTCCACCTTGGCTTGTCCTCACAGGGGTGCCCCAGGGAATCTTTTGGGAGAAGGCTTTTGCACAACATCTGCTTTTCAAACACTAGAAAGCTCTCGTGACTCAACTCCCTGCTAGCATGTTTCCAGCAGCTGCTATCTCAACAGGAGTCTCTCCTACATGTCCTCAGTGGGGACATCTGACAGCAGGCAGGGGTTGGCCCTTGCTGCACTCACATGGCGTTGGTTCTGCGTGGTCTTTCTGGTGCAATGTGAGCTGCAACCTGCTGCTAAAGCTGCCACCACACTCGCTGCGTGCACAGCCTCTGCCTGCTGTGTGGCTCCTCTGGTGCCTCATGAGATGGGACTTTCTGGTGAATGATTTCCCACATTCGGCACACTCATAGGGTCTCTCTCCTGTGTGAATTCGCTGATGGATGATGAGCTGTGCTTTCTCAAAGAAAGCTTTTGCACAATCACTGCACCCATGGGTTTTCTCTCCTGTGTGGTTTCTCTGATGTTTAATGAGCTGCACCTTCTGAACAAAGGCTTTCCCACATTCGCTGCATTCATAGGGCTTTTCCCCCGTGTGGATCCTCTGGTGCCTGAGCAGTTGTGGCTTCCAGGCAAACGCTTTCCTGCACTCACTGCATTCAAAGGGCCTCTCTCCAGTGTGGGTTCTCTGATGGTGAGTGAGACTGGACTTCTCGCTGAAGGCCTTCCCACACTCACTGCATTTGTAGGGCTTCTCACCAGTGTGTGTTCTCTGATGCGATATCAGGCTTGACTTCTGGGTGAAGGCCTTCCCACACTCACTGCAGCCAAATGGTTTCTCACCAGTGTGAGTTCTCTGGTGGGTTAGGAGCTGCGACTTTCCAAAGAAGGTCTTCCCACATTCCACGCAGCCATAGGGCTTCTCTCCAGAGTGAACTTTCTGATGCCGCATCAGCTCTGACTTCTTGAAGAAGGCCTCTTCACAATCGTGGCATCGATGGCTCTTCTCCCCCGTGTGGATTATCTGATGSTTGATAAGCTGCGGCTTTCGGATGAAAGCTTCACCACATTCCCTGCATGCATAGGGCTTCTCTCCTGTGTGAATTCTCTGATGCCTAATGAGGAGTGAGTTCCTGCTGAAGGCTTTTTTACACTCACTACACACATAAGGTTTCTTGCCAGTATGAGACCTCTGATGAGTAATGAGCTGAGACCTCCAAAAGAAAGCTTTCCCACAATCACTGCATTTATAAGGTTTCTCTCCTGTGTGCACCCTCTGATGTGTGATGAGCTTCACTTTCTGGGAGAAAGCCTTCCCACAGTCACTGCAGCTATAGGGCTTCTCTACTGCATGAGCCATCTGATGCCTTTTGAGCTGGGACTTCCTGCTGAAGGCCTTCCCACACTCACTGCACCCGTAGGGCTTCTCTCCAGTGTGAGTTCTCTGATGTAGCATGAGCAGGGACTTCCTGCTGAAAGCCTTCTGACACTCGCCACACCCGTAGGGCCTTTCCCCTGAATGTGTCCGCTGGTGCACAGTGAGCAAGGACTTCTGTGAGAAGGCCTTCCCACACTCACTGCAAAGATAGGGCTTCTCTCCTGTGTGAGTTCTCTGGTGAATGGTCAGCTGTGACTTCCTGTGGAAAACTCTGCCACACTCCAAGCACAAGCAGACTCCCGTGTGTGTCCCACAAGCCTCGTTGCTGCTGGTTCTTCTGTGTTTCTTGTCATCACAGTATTGTACCTCTCCACAGGCTCTGTCGGATTTCACACAAAACAGTAACTCCTTGCTGAGCTCATCAAATTTCTTTTTGCCACAGTTATTTTTTGGAATAAGAAAATCAAAAGGATGTTTCAAACTTTTTTCACCTCTGCCACATTTATGGAGTCTCATTCCTAAGTGAACAAAGTTCATGCTTGAATTAAATAGTTTCCCCAAAACATCACATCCATGATCTTTCTCCATACTTTTAAGCTTGTCTTGATTATCTTGATGCCATATTTTAGAATCACTGTCTAGCCAGATTTCTAAAAAGAGGGAAAAAAGAACCACACTGTGTAACTTCCTCAGTGACTATACTCATGAACATAGTGAGACCCACAAATACTCTCTATGTACTGGGCACTGACATATTTAATGGAAATGGGAACCGGTGTTAGAATTACAAAGGTCAAAATTATGCAGTAATCTGCAATTTTCTACTTTATGCCTGGAACTTTGTTAGCTGCAGATTATGGAAAAAGACAAGAAAAAAACCATCAGAGAGACTCATGATACACTGAAAATGAGAACAGCAAAAGAACAAGTCGGCACAAGAGAAGACGAACTTGGTCTGAGAAGAGCACAGGTGGGATGTCCTTCACTCTGGACAGCACTGATGTCTGGCCACTGCTGCACTGAAAACATCTCTGTGCCAGACAGCCACCTGGCCGTCCCCTCCACCACTGGCACCACTTTCTGGTGATAATTTCAAGAATTCTCCAGAGCTCACGTGAACACTTTTATCTGATGCATGTTGACATTCAGACCCTTTTAACTGGATCTATAACTGAATCATAATCTACATATAAAATCTACATAATGTTATAAATTGAAATTATTCCAAACCATAAGAACTTTCCTGTATAACCTTAGTACAGCTTTTTCCATCCTACAGGTATATGTACTTGTGAGTTCCACCACATGGCTGCTTGATGAATATTTGGAGTGATCTTTTAAAGGTCTGCTGACTGTTGATGACATTGTTTATAGCAACTGGGAGGCAAGATTCCCAGGAGGTACTCTGCAAGATGAAATATTTGGTGAGATTCTAAATGTAAAGCAAGTACTCTTTTTTCTTAAGAATACTTTTTGTGAGGCATCTCCTCTAATTCTCAGACATCAGAATTTCAGGGGAAGAGCCACTTAGAGCTGCTGATGTGGAGGAGAATGAGAATGCTCAATGTTTCGTGCATGAGTGATGTTCACACAGTCCACTGAGAGGAGAGAAAACAGAAAGACCTCTGGAGACCAGAATCAAGAGTCACAAGCAGACACATGGAGGGGGAGAGTTTAAGAGCAAGTTGCTCTTTAAAATATAAGAAGAAATAATAATTTCAAATTAAGATCAAGAAGCAGTGTTAAGAAGTATATTTATTCAAATTAATAAGCAACCTGATATCAAGCAATAATAGAGTAGTTCCCCTATGTATTTAAAGGCTTAGATATTCAATTGTATAAAAAAATCTTAAAGGAAATAAAAACATGTAATTTGGGAAGACAGGTGGACTACTGCTAGTGTTATCCACAGAACATATGTTTCTCCATTCTGTTTCTGCCATGTGACCCCCATTACATCCTGTTTCCAAAATGACATACTTCCTAACTGGGAGTCCAGCTTCCAATTCTAGCCTCTACTCAGCATCCAGTCACCTTTAAAAATGTAATTAGAAGCCAGGCACAGTGGCCATACCCTGTAATCCCAGTAGCTCAGGTGGCTGAGGCAGGAGGATCATGAATTCAAAACCAACCTCAGCAATGTCAAGGCGCTAAGCAACTCAGTGAGATCCTGTCTCTAAATAAAATACAAAATAGGGCTGGGGATGTGGCTCAGTGGTTGAGTGCCCCTGAGTTCAACCCCCAGAACACCCCCCACCAAAAACAATGTAACCAGGCCTTTTCATCCTCCTGCTTGAAAACTTTTTGATGCATGTCCTGTAAGACTGGTTTGCTCTAGCCTCTTCAATTTTATTTCACAATATTCTCATTTTTTTTTTATCACAAAGACATTTTCTGCCATGGTCCTCTGCATGTTCCATTCCTTACATGTAGCTCTTCCCAGTTTTCCAGCAGGCCTGGCTCATTCAAATGTAAACATCACTTTGACAGCACACTAACAAACATCCTGTTTATTTTATGCATAGTACTTATCAAGTTGATGATCCTCTACTTCTGTTTCTCCCTGTAGAATGTCAACTCCACGAGGGTTAGGGTAGGTGGTAGTTCCCACTGGTACTTTCCTAGCTCACAGTGCAGTACATAGTTACCTCAATGTGTGGGGAGGAACACACTTGCTGAGTGCTAAAGCAGCTCCTTCCTGTAGCACTGAATCTGATCATGAACTCTATATTCAATTATTGAATGCCATACAGTTCTGTATTTTCTTTTATGTTAAATTCTATGCTCCTGCATGGTTATTTCATGACTCTTATTTCCTTCTGAGTCCTCTCATTCCATATAACAGTGGTGGTTCTAAATTTTTTAAAAAATATATTTATTTTTTAGTTTTCTTTTAGGTGGACACAATATATTTATTTTATTTTTACGTTGTGCTGAGACTTGAACCCAGTGCCTCATGCATGCTAGGTGAGCACGCTACTACTTGAGCCACATCCCTAGCCCTGTTGGTTCTAAATTAATGGGGGAATGTGAACTCTATCACTGCAGTTTTCCCAGACTCTACATACCCAGACCTGCTAGCCCCGACAGGAAGGGCCTAGACCTAGACATTCTGAAGTACTTCCCAGCATAGGTTAATACACAAGTTAAATGGAAACCCTTCTACTGAACAGATATTTGATAAGAAAGCTCCTGATGGGCACAATGGCACACATCTGTAACCCCAGTGACTCGGGAGGCTAAGTCTGGATGATCGCAAGTTCAAAGACAGACTCAGCAACTTGGTGAAGCCCTTAGCAATGCAGCAAGACCCTATCTCAAAATAAAAATAAAAATAATAAAAAGGGGTGGGTATGTGGTCAAGCACCCTTGGGTTCAATCCCCATACTAGAAAAAAGAAAAAGAAAAAATGCTAGTTGGGTGTGGTGGAGCACTCTGTGATCTCAGTGACTTGGGAGGCTGAGGCAGGAAGGTCGCAAGTTTAAGGTAAGCCTGGGCAACTTAGCGAAACCCTATCTCAAAAACATAAAAGGGCTGGGAATGTATCTCAGTGGTAGAGAAACCGTGAGTTCAATCCCCAATACTAAAAACAAAAAAGAAAGAAAAGGAAAGATCCTCTTTACCTGCCTCCATAATAATAAACAAATAAAATATTAATAATTGTACCATAAATTTCACATAGAACAGAGATCAGTAAATTCCTGGCCATCTCTCTAACCTTAAGCCTAACAGTTTAAGGAATCCCAGTGAAGTCTGAACAGGCCTCAGGTCCTATAATATAGGTGCTCAGCAGGCAAGGGCTTCAGACAAGCTGGAAGTCAAGGAGCATCCACTGGTGGGGGGAAGAGAAGCTCAACCAGAGGGGGGCAGTGTCTATGTGGGGAGAGCACACCCCCTTCCAAAGGCTCAGAAGCAGAGAGAAACATGGGGGACATTGAGGAAGAGACTCGTCTAAATGCTCTGGGTATAGAAGAGGCACAGAAGAGGGGCTTAGTCAGGCTCTGCTATGTTCTGCTATTCTCCAGTGTAAATGGAGCTTAACAACACACAGCAGGGCAGAGGTACCAACATACAAACCCAGTGCCCCACTCATGCTAGGCGAGCATGGACACACAGCCTGCAAGGGGAGGGCTGAGGCCCGCTGAGAGGCCTCAAAGGCAGGGATGCAGCGGAGGCAGGAGGCATCTCCTGGCTGTGTCAGAGCTCAGCTCTGCTCCACACCACTTGCTCTGCCTTCCACTCTGTCTTTGCTGTAAGACACACAAGGAACCCTACCGAGGTGTGAGCATGCTGTCTCTGAGCATATGGAGCCTGATCATCTTTGTATATGATGATTGGCAGCCTTGAAGCTAGTTCTCTGAAACCCCTGGGGATCTTATTTGTGTGTTGTCAACTGTGCTGTGCCTGTACAGGCACTTTGTTACTAAGTTACAAGCTGAGACAGAGGCATTTATGGAGCAGAAGACTCCTGGTATGGAAAAGCACATAGACAGAGATCATCTGGGCAATGGTATCTGGTACCTGGGAGGGCAGTAATGTCATTTGTTAATTCAAAGTTTTCTTCATACTGTTAAATTAAATGAGAAGCCTTGTAAAAAATTCAATAATGACATACCTATTAAATTTCCAAAGGGGAAAAAGCCCAAATTTGTCAAATTAGAGGAAGGAAAGTAATAACTCAAAGAAGTTCTACATTAATATGAACTCAAAAGTGGTCAATGTTATTTAAAGTGAAAAAAAGTGGGTAGAGTTATGGCTCAGAAGTAGAGTGCTCGCCTAGCATGCGTGGGACACTGGGTTCGATCCTCAGCACCACATAAAAACAAAATAAAGATATTATATCTACCTATAACTAAAAAATAAAATATAAAAAATTGAAAAAAGTTGTGGATTTTTTTTTTTTTTTTTGGTATCGAGGATTGACTGAGGAGGACTTAACCCCTGAGGCACATCGCCAGCCTTTTTTTTCTATTTTATTAGAGACAAGGCCTCACTGAGTTTCTTAGGACCTTGCTAAATAGCTTAGGCCTTGCTAAATTGCAATTCAGCTCAGCCGCCCCAGGCTGCTGGGATTAAAGGCATGTGCCACTGCATCTGGCTAAAAATTATGAATTCTTAAGGAGGAGGACCAAAGCCTACCTCTGTAGGACGACTTGGAAGTGGGAATAAGGAAGTAGGAACGTAAGGCAGGTAGGAAGAACTCTTTATGCAAGGAAGGAATCCTCAATGAGTGGCCACTGTGTATGTGCTGCACAAGTGGAAGGCTCGATTCATCATAAACTGCACACAGGGGCTAGGGTTGTGACTCAGTGGTAGCGTGCTCACCTTGCATGCATGAGGCACTGGGTTCAATCCTCAGCAACACATAAAAAAAATAAAGACAATACAGTCCATCAACAACTAAAAAAAATTTAAAATAAATAAATAAACTGCACACAGAGAGGCCAGCAGGCTAGGGCACGGAACAGCAAAGCAAGGATCATGAAGAACTCCTGTCACTACTCTGGAGTCAACTCTATAAAGATTTAGGAATTTCAAACAGTTTATAAGCAACATTTCAAAAGTACTCACCTATTGCCAAAACCCTGAGATTTAATTTAATTCACCGTTTTCAATACATTTCATGATTTCTCACCTGAAACGTTCTGGTGTAGGGTTTYTTCATATACTGTCCATGACTCCTCTTGGTCTAGCTTGAAAACGGCATCAGGTTTAATGATTTGATAACCTGGAGATTGGAAGGAGACGACATGGACCCAGCTGCCTGAGCTGGAGTCCCTTGAGAAATGTCTTATTACAAATGCTCTGAAATAACAAGAGACTAAACACCTTTCAATTTGGTGTTGGAATCAAGGAATCTCTGGCATCTGAAATGCATATGCAATCAGTGAACACCCCAGAGGCCCGGTTGGACACAGCCAATCACAGAAGGGCACCTCACCCAGGAAGAGCAGGCTGCTGTAGTTCTCCAGCATTACGTCTCTGTACAGGCTCCTCTGAGTGGGGTTAAGCAGCTGCCACTCCTCCCATGTGAAGTCCACAGCCACATCCTCAAACGATATCTGAAAAGCACAATCCCGGCAAGTCTGCAGTGGTCCCACAAGGCTGTGCGGAACACAGGCTCTCCTCTGTGTGTGACAGTAGCCTTGGGCACAGCACTTTGTGCATCTTCCCCTCCTGACTCACTTCCATGGAACAGAAGGGCACAGAGTGGATGCCACTTCCAGATTAGGTTATCAGAGACTGATTTCCCTACTGGGAGCTTGCTCCTCCTCTCCCTGAGGGAGGGGTATGGCAGCCATGTTGAGAGACCCAGGTGGTGTGCCTGGAATGGACCATCTCCTCCAGCACCTCCAGAGCCCTGGCAGGTCCCAAGCCACAGTGGTGTGAGGTGAATGCCTCCTTGTTTCAGCCACTGAGGTTTGGGGTGATTTGTTGTCAGCAATGGGTAATTAATAGGACACCCTAACACTGCATTATGCTTTGAAGGAGAAAGAAAAATGCCACTCAACTACTCATCATGGTGAGTGCATTCATCCATCTACTCATCCAGGAATCAGAAACTAGAACAGGTTGTCTCTAAATAAGCACAGTGGTTCTCAAAGAAGTGTCATGGGTCAGGGCATGAAGACGTGTGCCTGGTCTGCCCTGCAGAGTGACAATAGCACCTCAGCCTCTGTGAGGACCAAGCCACTACTCATTCCAGAGGCAGCTCTGCCTCCAAGTCAGAACAACCAGCCAGCTCTTTCAGGTATCTGAGACCTGCTAGCTTACTTTCCCTGGTAAAGCTGGAACAAGAAAAGGGTCACTTGGCTTTTGACTGATGAAAAATAACATCAAAAATTAATTTCTTGGGCTGGGGCTATATCTCAGCGGCAGAGCACTTGCCTCGCATGTGTGAGGCACTGGGTTCGATCTTAGCACCACATAAAATTCAACAAATAAAATAAAGGCATTCTGTTCATCTACAACTACAAAAAAATTAAAAAAGAAAGAAAGAAAATTAATCTTTTGCCTCAAATCTTAGTGCTACACTGAGAACTCACAACAACAAGCTAGACTTATGTGGGTGCGTAATCTAAGTACACAGAACAGGTGTGCTTTGCAAAGACCTCAATCAGAAAGAAAGTGGCTTTAGATGGCAGTACATTAGGCCTCTGCAGAGTCAAATGTACATACTATCTAGAGAAAGGAATACAGATGCTTCTTGAAACAAAGCATGAGGAAAAATGAGTGCAGAGTGTACAAAGAAACAAGGCATCATGACTGAGATCCATCTTAAAAACCAAAGTCCAGGATATATGAAATAAAGGCTGGGGTTGTGGCTCAGTGGTAGAGCACCTGTCCAGTACGTGTGAGGCACTAGGTTCAATCCTCAGCACCACATTAAAAAAAATTATTACATCCATCTGCAACTAAAAATTAAAATAAAATAAATATCCATAGTTCATTCAGAAAAACAAAAAAAGGTCAATGAAAATATGAAACAGGACCAAAAGGGCTATGTGCATTGGCACATACTTGTGATCCCAGCAACTCAGGAGATTGAGGCAGGGGGATCACAAGTTTGAGGCCAGTCTCAGCAACTTAGCAAGATACTGTCTAAAAATAAAAATAAAACAGGCTGTGGATGAAGCTCAGTGGTAGAGCACCCCTGGTTCAATCCCCAGAACCAAAAGGGGGGAAAAGAGAAAGAAAGAAAGAAAGAAAGAGAGAGAGAGAGAGAGAGAGAGAGAGAGAGAGAGAGAGAAAAGGCTGTACAACTGAGTACGCAGATCTGATGAAGAACTAAACAGAATCCTAGAAATAAAGTATGGGTGTGAAATGAAGAAATCAGTGTATAGTACACTAGATGCAAAGATGCGGGGGCCGGTGGGGGGGGTGATAGATCAGAAGAAGCTCATAATGAGACAAAGTCACAGAAATGGAATATATAAAGCAACCCAGATTATAGCTGACTACAATGATACATGTTAATGACAAAAACAGTTTGAACATAAAAGTTTAAAAAAAGGTAGCAACAAATAAACAATAAGCAGCTGGCATAGCTTTTTTAACAAAGGCAGTAGACCTCAAGAAAAACATTATTAGACACTGCAGAAAAAGGAGGATTATCAAATATAATGAACACTTCAAATGGTAAAGGGTTAATTCTCAAAGAAGACACGTTGACTCTGAATGTGTATGCACCTAAAAATGGACACAACGACTGAAGTCAGCACTCTTTTCTGAGGAATGGACATGATATGCAGTCAGAAAATCGGGAAGGATGCAGATGACCTGAACAGCAGTTGGGTCAACTTGACCTAATGACTCTTTAACTCTTTTTTTTTTTTTTAATTTTTTTAGTTTTAGTTGGACACAATACCTTTGTTTTATTTATTTATATGCGCTGCTGAGGATCAAACCCAGGGCCTCGCATGTGCTAGGCGAGCTACAACCCCAGTCTGACTCTTAACTCTTAACTGAGAACACTCAGCCCACAAGAGCTAAGCAAAYACCCCATAGTGTATGCACCCATAACTATTTTAAAATAAATCAAACAAAGTGTGTTCTTGGACTATGACAAAATTAACTAAAAATCAATAACATGTATCTAGAACATTTCCAAAGCCATATGTATGTGAATAAGCCACAGGTTGAATGGGAAATTATCGGGATATTATGAAAATAGTCTAAACTAAATGAAAATGAAAAGACAACTTGTCAAATTTTGTGGGATATAGTTAAAACAATGCTTACATGAAATTTTATTAGAAAAATACTCATATATTTGAAAAGAAAAAGACCTAAAATCAATATCCCAAATTATCATTTTTAAAAATTAGAAATGTTGGGCTTAGTAGTGCATGCCTGTAACCCTAGCAACTCACAAGGATGAGGCAGGATGATCACAAGTTTGAGGTCAGCTTCAGTAACTTAGCATGGCCATGAGCAACTTAGTGAGACTCTGTCTCAAAATGAAAAAATACAAATTGCTAGGGGTGTTGCTCAGTGGTTGAGCACTCCTGAATTCAATCCCCAGTACCAAAGCAAAACAAACGAAAACTAGAAATGCTGGGTGTGGTGGTGCACACCTGTGACCCCAGCTACTAGAGAGGCTGAGGCAGGAGGATCACAAGTTCTTCGCCAGCATCAGCAACTTAGTAAGATCATATAACCTAATGTAAAAAAAAAAAATCAAAATATTTAAAAGGATGGGGATGTAGCTCAATGGTAGAATACAGAACATTTGCACAGCATGCATGAAGCCCTGGGTTCAATCGCTAATACTGCAAAATATCAATCAATCAGGGACTGGAAGAATAGATCAGTGGTAAAGGATATGCTTAGTGGTAAAGGATATGCCCAGGTTTTGATCCCCAGCACCACACACCTATACACAAATACACAAGGAATGTAAACCAAGGGATATAATGGAAATTCCATAACCTAATAAATKATATCTATGGAAAACATACAACTAATAACATATTTTGATGGTGAGACAGAATGCTTCCCCTATAAGGATCAGAAGACAACAAGAAAGGCATCTTGTACTGTTCCTATTCAAACTCTGTACTGGAGCCTTAGCTAGTCCAGTATGGAAAAAGAAGCAGAAGGTTAAAAAAAAAACAAAAACAAAATAAAACCCTATTGATAGATGACACATTTGTCCATGTATAAAACGCAAAAAAAAAAAAAAAATCTGTCATGCATATATGCACTATCTCCTAGAACGGACTAGTGAACTCTGCTGGAAAACAAGAGGCCATTTCACCTGAGCTAGTGGTTTCCTGCACGCCATCAGTGAACAATAGGAACAGAACAGGTCTTATAGGGCCATTTACATCAGCCCCCAAACACAGCTACCAATATACAGAGAAGGCAACACAGTAACAGTATCTGTGTGTTACTAACTGGTGACAAGAGAAATCAAAGAACATGATATCATGGACAGACACACATTCCATGCTTGGAGATGGAGTGTGGCCGGGTCTTCACTTCTCCCTGAAAATGCCACGGATTTCACACAAAGTAGCAAGTGTTGGCTCATTGGTAGAGAGCTTGCCTGGCACGTGGGAGGCCCTAGGTTCGATCCTCAGCACCACATTAAAAAAAAAAAAAAAAGAATAAGTAAATAAAATAAAGTGTTTGTTTAAAGTAGCAAGTGGCTCTGCAGGCATTAGCAAGTTGATCCTAATATGCACTTGGAAAGACAAAGGTACTGGATGGCCACATCTGGACAAAGCACTGCACTACAGGACTCCACTTGGTTTTAAGAAAAAACATGCTCTGCTCCAGAGTCCATTCAACAAATGATGCCAGAGCAACTGTGTACCCATGAGCAAAGGGATGAACCTCCACATAGAACTTACGCTTTATGTAAGAACTTATTCAAAGTGCACTGCTGCAATCCCAGCAACCGAGAGGCTGAGGCAGGAGCACTGCAAGTTCAAAGCCAGTCTCAGCAACTTAGCAAGGCCCCCTTTCAAAATTATGAGAAGGAAGTGAGAAAAAGAAGGACTGGACATAGTTGGGTGGTAGAACACCTGCCTAACATGTGCAAGGCCATGGGTTCTGTCCTCATCACTGCAAAACAGGACAAAACAATGAGCAAAAGATCTTAACAGACACTTCACCAAAAAAGACTGGATGGAAAATAAATACATGAAAAGATGTTTGATGTCATTTGTCAAGGGAAAAATGCAAACTAAAATCATAGTAAGATACTTCTATGCATATAACAAAAGGCAAAATGTCACAAAACTGATGGATGCTGGTGAGGATGTGAGCAACAGCAATTTCCACTTGCTATGGTCAGAGTGTAAGATGCACAGCAACCTTGGAAACATGTGGAGACTTTGGCGGCAGCTTATAGAGCTGAACACACTTGCCAGAAAACCCAAAAATCCCACTCCTAGGTATTGACCCAGGTGAACAGAACACTCACGGTCAAACCTACATGCAGAAGAATGCATTATTCCTAACTGCTAGCAGGTGCCAGCAACCACAGTGCCCTTCAACAAGCAGATGCTCAAACAGCTGGTGCATCACATAGGCAGACACTGTCCAAGGACAGCACTTGGGGCTAAGGGGCACACCAGCCAGTTCTAGGTCCATGACTGAAGAAGCATTATTGAATGGCTACGTGCTRTTTCTATGTTTTATTTCTTTTAAGAGGGTTCTTGMTATGCTTCCCAGACTGGTCTTGAWCTTGTGGGCAGAGTGATCCTCCCACCTCAACCTCCCAAGTAGCCAGGACTACAGGCATGCTCCCCCATGCCCAGCTGATTTTCATACTTTCAATTCCATTCATGTGACATTCTGGAAAAGGAAAAACTATGCCATGAACCAGACTGTATACAACAGACAGACCAACTGACTCAAGACTGAGGAGTACACAAAGATGAGGGGTGTCTTCTGGTAAAGGGACAGCACAGGAGCCTCCTGTTCAGGGCTCCTCTGCAGTGGCATGATTTGGCCCCATACCTGTTGCATGGACCCGACCTAACTGGTGTGCCATCTCAGGGGAAGGGGCACTTGCTTGGGCTCCTGCCTGTACCATCTCAGAGGTGAGGGATGGTGCTGCCCTTGCTCTCTGGGAGGCTTGTGGCTTTCCCTGATGACTCTGATGCTTCGCAGCTCAGCTAGGCCAGCTCAGCTGAGCTCCCAGCATATAAGTGAACTTCAAAACTAAGAAAACATGAAACTTTTTGCATATTTATTTGAACAACAAAATTCTTAMGAAAAATTAAGAAAATAAGGAAGGAAAAGAATGAAAGGGAGAGATAAGCAAGGTGGTCAAGAACTCCTTTTCCATGAATTAGAGCACAGATACAGCTGGAGGCAGATGCCTGCATGCGCACCTTTGCCAACAGAAGCACAAACATTTTAACCTAAACTATCAAAATTCCAACTGAGAGGACTTATGGGGACCCGGTCAACTCTGCCAGATRACTTAGTGTTCTTCCTGAAACTAGCATCTAGGTAGGATGTGTCCCTGCTTTAGTCTCTGAGGAATGGTGTTCTGTGTTCTTTAGGTTCATTCCCTTTGCTTACACTGAGGAGTTTTAAGGAGCTATCCTAGAGCACATGCTATGATGGGTGCCATCCACTAAGCCACTTATCTCAAGAGCCATCACTGCTTCTTCTTGTGTTGCCATCAAGAAGTGTGCACTTCTCTCAAACACTTGGTCTGCCTTTTCCTTCCTATGGAAGACACTGTCACTCCTAGTTCCTTTTCTGCTGTGGGCTTTGGGAATGTCTGAGAAAAGCCTGCTGCTCACCTTTGTGACAATGGAGGAACCCGTGTCTTCTTTACCTATCTTCCAACTTTAGGCTTCTGTATGGCTCTATATATTTAATAAATATAAAATTTGTGCTACTTTTGACATCTTCTTTCCCAAGTTTATCATTTATCTTTGATTATGACTTAAATGTATTTAGACCTTTCCTGTTTGTGTCCTGTAAGTCTCCTGTACGCCTCATCACATCCACAGGGGGGAAAAAACTACTAAAGATAAACAAATAACTCACCTGTGACTCAATCATTTTCTGCTGCTCTCAGGAAACCTGCTGTTTTTGACTTCTGTCTGTTCTGACTCTGGAGAGAGGCCTCTAGTGAAAGATCTGGAAACCAAGACTATATTCTCATTCTTGAGAATCTCACATGAATTCTCTGCTTATCTCACATGAATAGTTTTGTTTCTGAGAGCAATGGTCTGTGAATGCAATAGAAATGTCATTTTAGATGAGGTCACTGGTCTGGGGACCTAAATCTTAGTTTTCTCTTTCTGGGAACTCAGTCTTGTAAAACCTCAGACTAGATGTTTGGTAGACACAATCAGGGCTGTGGGCTAAGAAATGGGAGGGAGCCTTGGCTTCTGGCATATCTTCTGCACCTGGCCTGCATCTGGGGCACGTCTCTACCACACTGCAGTAACAACCCCAGTGCCTTCCAGGAAGTGCTAGAATGAAGCTGCTCACCTCCTTGGTCCAAGCAAACACCCCCCACAGAAGCAGCACTATGGAAAACTGCTCTGAAGAGACATGAAGGGATTGTGGAAATGCAATGATGATGACTCACTCCTTCTGCAGCAAAGTTTCCTGGGGCAGGAATGAATTCATTAATTTAAGTGAAATTATTTGCCTAGATGTTATAAGGCAAAATGCAACTCTTTTGTAGACAGGCAGAATGGTACTCAGGAAGTGACTATTAGATTAAGATGAGGGGCTAAGGGATGTAGCTCAGTAGTAGAGTGCTTCCCCACCATGCATGAGGCCTGGGTTCAATCCCCATTACTGTAAAACAAACACAAAAAACAACCAATAAAAAAAAACAGTTTATAAAAGACCACAAGGTACACATCATATCATTTTAGGCAGAATTACAGGAAAACACAGAACAAGATTTAAAATAAGTACAATAAACTAAACAAACACATCCCACATCCTGATGCACACAAACAGAATTTAAGTTTCTTCACGGCCATGGACCAGGTCACTTATGTTCAACCAGATGTAGAATCAGAACCAAAGACTTCAAGGGCTCAGGGTTGTGCAGGAAAATCACTTTCTTCATAAGGGTAATCTTTAAAGGAAATGTTAAAAAAAACCTTACCCCATAAATTTTGGGACAAGAGGGATAGAACCCTAMCTCACACAACAAAACTGCTCACCAAAACTGTCCAGCACTTGCAGTCAACACCTGCTGTGTACTCGGGTGCTCCAGGCATGATGGTGTCCATCCCCAAAGTTCCTTTGTGGAAGCAGGCCACAGCAAGCCCACGCTCAGTCTCCATGGCAAGAAGCCTACAGCCTAGCATGGATGACCACATGTGGTCAAGGAGTAAGAAGGCTCTTTCCAGAAAACAGGTGAAACTGAGCAAGAAGACGTACAGCATGGGCTCTCTGTCCTGTGTCTCAAATAATACCAAAGGCTGCTGAGGAATGTTGTGGGAGACCATATCAACCAAGGTCCTCATGCAGAGGGCTGAAGTTGGACATGGCCAGGGACAGAACAGACTATGGGTTATAACTAGCAAGGCGGAAGTTATAGAAGGCAAGACCCTGAAGCCAGGGGGGTCGCTGAAAACTTTTAAAAAGGAAACACTCAAGTAAAAGTAGTTCCTGACCAACAATCACAAGCTACAATGAGAGGCCAGAATACAAAAAATGAGTATGATTATTTAACAGAAGTTACCTGTGAGAGGCTTGGTCTGGGCCCACACATGACCAACACCCATTCGGCCCTGCCTCCAGTCCCACAAACATGGGACCCCCACACATCCCTCCCTCAGTGACCACCTAAGAATCCTCCAGCTCCACATCCCAAGACCTCTGCAGATCACAAAACCCAACAGGCCCCTCTGTAAACCTCCAGATCACACAACCACTGAACCCCATAAATTCCACTATCACTTGCCCCAGTATCCTCCTCACCCCCACAGAATCTCAATTACCAATTGCACAGCCCCATATTCTCTTCTCAACAGGTCACCCTTCTAGGGCCTTCAGTGACATGCACTGTAGGTTCCTTAGTGACTCTCAGTGGCCTTATGATAGCTAGTATCTACAATCCTCAACCACTGACCTCAGACTGGCACAGGATTGGCATTGTGTGCCAGGATGACCAGACATCATGTGGCTCCCTGCCAATGGCAAACAAGCCAGAAAGCTCCAGTTTCCCTCTCATCAACACCCACAGGCCCAACTTCTCCCCCCTCACCCCTCACTCCATGCCTATCACAGACACCTACAGGCATACTAGTCATTCACCCCAACAGGCCCACCCAAACATGAAACCTCATTCATGAGTCACCTGTCAGGTACCAGTCATCTTCGGCCTCCTTGGCTCAAGCTCCTCAGCACTCAACTCCAACCCCCTCAAGTAACAATGCCAATCCATGTAGGGCATAAATCAAGTGGACCCAGAGTTTCTCCACACCTCCACCAATGATGACATGCTCAGGACTGGAACTTCAATCCTGACCCTCCAGTGCATGGTCAGAGTACCCACACCCTCACTCACTTGCCCTGGTGTTGGCCATTCCCTTATTTTTAATTTTTACTTTTTGTGGAACTGGGAATTGAGCCCAAGGGTGCTCTGTCACTGAGCTATATCCCTAGCCTCCTCCTTTCTTTCGCTAAGTTGCTCAGGCTGGCACTGAACTTGTATCCTCCTGCCTCAGCCTCTCAAGCTGTTGGGATTACAGGAGTGTGCCACCACACCTGACTAGTGTGTCAGTCATTCCTAAGTCATACTGGGCTCTCAATCACTTGGTCCCATGGCAGCCACAGAGTCATCCCTATAGCACTGAGGCCCCAATCATAGGCTTACCCAGCCCTTGTCAATTCACTGACTAAAACCAAGTCAGTGAAATTCCTGTGAGTCTCAGTAAGTCCCAAAGGACACCAACCACTCTCTCCTCCAGTTTACTTGCCCTCACAGCTGCCCCAATGTGTTCTCACAGAGCCCCTCATCACTGACATCCCCAGCCTTGCTATCTATCTTTCACTGCTGCTCCAGTCATTGAACCCCAAGGGACAACCAACCCCTTATCCCACAGGGTGCTCCTGCACATTCTCTAATTCATCCCATGTTTGCCCACCATTCACCGGCAGCCTTACAGGCTCTCCTGATGGCCACCCTGCACACAACTGATACTAAGCCGCTCCAACCACTCCAATTACTAGCCCCACTGTTCACTCACAACCCCCACCAAACCAACACTGACTTATATCCACACAGTGCCCCAATTTCTGATGCCTCCATCAAAAAATCCTCAAACACAGCCTAGAGAAGAAACTCAGCCACTCACCTCCCCTAAAACAGCAATCACTAGCAGATAAACAAATCCAGAGTAAGGAGACTTACCTCCCAGGGATTATTATGGGGTAGGAAAAGGGAAATGGGGGATCACAATAGGGAGGATGTGGGGCCCTCAGATCTACACTCATCTTTGCAAGGCAGAAAGCAGTTTCTTTCACAGAAAGGAGTAAAGAAAGTTAGAAAGAATCAGGTGAGGCAAAGTGGGATTAAAGAGTGGGGTGAACAGGATGCAAACCAGAGACTTTCTGCCCGCTGTGAGGAGAGGCTGTACAAGGGCCAAATTTCATGGAACTGGAGGAAAGAACAGTCCATGTTTGCTAACCAGATTTTTTGTCCTGCCTGATCCATGGGGTTCACTAATCACTGCTGAGGCAAAGAATGAAAATGCAGAGAATCCGTGTCTGCCTTATCACAGGCAAACAAGGGCACTCTCGGGACTTACCTAGAACGTGTACAAAAGGAGCTTCTCTGCAGTGAGCCTTTTCCTGGAGATTTCTGAACCTCCGCTGTTTTCCAGGAGCACAGAGCTCAAGTAAAACCCAACGTCTTCACAACCAACAGGACTTCCAGTTAATGAAACACCCAAAACAGATACACCACAAAAGCATCCTTCCCAGCCTGCAAATGAATCACTGGCAGCCAGAGTCTTAGTTAACCTACAAAGAAACCGGCTAGACACAGTCGCGGGTCTGCGGATGCACTGGGTCCCAGCACAAAGAACTGACGCCCAAGGGCTACCCAAGGGCTACCCAAGGAGTCTCCCACGAGTCTTCCAAGGGCCTTGAACACTCAGCCCTCAATCCCAGACTGCTGTTTTACAGACGCGCCCCTACCCAACCCTCAGGTGTCTACAGGTTAAATATCCACACACATCCAACAGGCAGGTACGCCAGAAACCGCCCGGCCCCGCCACGCCCCCGCCCCC